GGCCTTGGCAAATTTTAGGCCGGCTTTTTTTTTTTGCGTGGACTATAGGAGAGGCTTCTTACATGGACGACAGCCATTCCTTTGCAGTGTGTGCCGTGTCATGAGAAACAATCACCCCAGTTTGGCTTTCTACTTCTTTAGCTAACTGCTGTGATTTTTCCCATGGCGATTTTCTGCAACCCTTCTCATTAGAAGATGCTCCTGTCAAGGTGTTAACTTCTGTGGATGGCTTGGACGTCTCTGTGAGATGGTTGCAGTTCCATCTTTGTTAAATTTTTGCATCAATTTTGCTACAGTATTCTAACTGATAAGTGAAGATTTGCTGATCTTCTTGTAGCCTTCACCTTTCTTGTGTACAAAAATTATTTTCTTTCTCTGGCCTTTCTTTTCCATGTGGTGCCATTGCTGACAGCATGAAATGGGAAGGGGGTTTTCTTAGGTAACGCCCTTTTATAATCAGCTGTCTACTGGACACCTGTTTAATAAATAATTAGACTCACCTGTATTTGAATTCTTGTTAATTAGGATTTTTTTGTTGTCCCAAAATTTAGCTTTGCTCCTAAGACTTTCATTGGGGTGTATTCATTTTTGCAACATGGTTTTGAATGAATTTAACAAAAATACTTTTTTGTGTGGGTAAATTAACAAATCTTGTTTGCAATCAATGGCCTGCATTTGTGGGAGTACTTTGTATTATACTATCCCATAGAAAATGTTGATTCTGAAAGGAAAGTAAAGGTTTTCTGACAAATCTGCTGGGTTGTACTCATTTATGCTGAGCACTGTAAGTAAAAGCAAAAAATGTTTGTGTAACTAAAAAAAAAAGGAAGTTGATTTCATATCTGCACGCAGAGCTTTCCTGTTACATGTTAGCTTTTGACCTTAAAATTCAACCAAGCAAACAAACACAGTATTGAAATATACAAAAGTAAATTATCTTCAGACCTTCTTGCAATTAAAGTGTTACTAAACCCACAACAGAAAATCAGTCTGTATATGCAGTAAAGCATGCTTGTTATACTCACTGTGGAACCTAAGGGGTTAAGTCCTCTGCATTGTGTAAAAATGCTGTTTGATCCTGTCTTCTCTGCTACTCCTCTTGTTCAAATGTCCACATCTTATCTCCTGATAAGACAGACTGAACCCGTAGCCATTCTGCACATGTTCAGTTTGGTGTGTATTGCTAGAGAGTTTTATTTTTCTTGGAAGAGTGCATGTGATCAGCACAGGGCCAATCAGCGCTCTCCAGCCAGAGGTCAGGGGTTTTGCATCCTCCTAGAGCAGAAAGAAAACTCCTCCTACAAGCTTTAACCAGTGCTCTGCTGAAGTCACAAGACTGCTCTAACTGCTGATGATGAGAAAAGGTATTTAGCAGTTTATATTTACTAAAATAATTGCATTTCCATGTTGTGTGTACAGTGGGAGACCAGATATAGTGAATGCAGTGTCCGGGGAGACCAGATATAGTGAATGCAAGGCCTGGGTTTAGTAACTCTTTCATTCTGCCATAATGATTACCAAGAAAACCTGTGGGGATGCATGGAACACTTGTGCATCCCCATTCAAGTAAACACAGCCTTCACACAGGTGTTTGCTGTAGTACACCCATGTGAATGAGGCCATAAGTAGGTGTGAGTAGCACTGCAAAGTAGTAAGCAGAGCCTGCATATCTAATGAACAGATACAGCAATCCCCATGTACATTTATAATTACAAATTATACACAGAAACAGTTTTAAAACGTAAATGCATTCTGATAGGTTTATTTACATCAAGCTGATCTCTGTATCTTTTTTCATGTTTGTCTAAAGCAAAACAAAAAAATAAAAAGACTATACAGTACATCACCATTTAATGTGCATATACCTGCCGCACACATTACAGGAACATTTTTTATTTGAAAATTGATTTGCAGGCACATGCTTTTGCAAAGCACTGCAGATGGTAGCATTTGTGCAGACATATGGCACTTGGCTGACTGATGGGCAGATTAGGAAAGGATGATGCAACTAAACAAATGCCAGAAGCTGATCAAAGATGAAAATGTTACCCTGTTTCCTTTTCAGTGAATAAAAGGAAACTGGCCATCCTAATCTGATGGCATATGATTTCATTTGATAACAACAGAAATAAAAAAAAAAAAACCATTGAAATATGCCCTTTTATAGTTCGGTCCAAAGCTCAAGCAGATTCCCCCTCCAATACTTTTAAGCACCCAGATATTTACAGATGTTTCAGTACAACTCAGAACTGGTGCAGATAAGTAATTAAATCACACAATATCATTTTTGTAATAGCTCACAAATTTTACTTACTAATATTTACCATTGAACATAGTGTATAGTTAGGCTGGCATGCAGAGGATTAACCCCTTAGGTTCCACAGTGAGTATAACAAGCATGCTTTACTGCATATACAGACTGATTTTACTGTTGTGGGTTTAGTAACACTTTAAATACTGCTTTAAACTATTTCCATCTTAACAAGTAAAAGTTCTTGTGACAGCTATATTATGACCACACCAGACATGCAATTACCTTTGGAACTGTTGACTTTTGAATAGGTCCATTTCCAGTAGTTTCATGCGCATATGTTCATAAACAGAGGCAGGATGCCTTGTAAAAATGAAAGTAATGTCATTGTTGCTTGAATACCTTAATGAGAATGTATAGTGGTTTTCAGTCTATTTTCCCTTTTTATTATGGAATAAAATGTAAAATATATTATCTTGTGTATCAGTCATCCACATAGTTGCAATCAATACATTTTATGTGTGGCTGATATCTTCTCACAATAGGTATTAATCGATTAGGCAGGGTTATTGTAATGGGTAATCTTCCCTGCCTCAAAAAGTAATTCTAAAGGTAAAATTTGTTTTTGAAAATCCAAAAAATAAACATACTTTGTATGTTTTTTGCACAGATCGGCCCCGTACCTCTTCTTCTTGGATCCCGCACTGGCATTCCTGGTTCCTCCCCCCTGCTGAGTGCACCCACGGCAAGCTGCTTGCTGTGTGTTCTTGCTCCAGAGCTGGCTCTGATGTCCATTGACACACAGGTTGTGGCTCGGCCCCGCCCTCTGCTCCCTCACTGGCTGTGATTGACAGCAGCATGAGCCAATGGCTCCTGCTGTTGTGCTCAAGCCTATGAGAAGGGAGAGAGCAGACAGAGCCGATACTCTCAGGCTTAGCGCTGGAATGAGATCGGGCACAGGTAAGTATAAGGGGGAGCTGGGGGGAAGCTGCATGCAGAAGGTTTTTTTACCTTAATGCATGCATAGACAAAAAGTAATGTCAATACCATAAGAAGTCTAAGATGAATATAATGCTCCTATAAAACCTGTTTATATCAGCTCCTCTGTATTCACTCATAAGGCCCGTGCACACACTGAGCATTTGCCCAGCTCTTGGCTCCTGGCAGGAAAAAAGCAACATTAAAAATGTGCGTAATTCTGCAATTTGCAAACGAATTTAGGTGTATCAAGTTTTTAGGTGTTCATTCATTCCATTGGCCAGAATATTAATTTATTCTGGCTTTTGAAATAAATAAGTGTGCAAGTGCTAAACGTTTCCTTTTTGGCACATTCAGCTGCGTCTAGGCACATCGTGTGGTTTAAATAACGTGCATAGGTGAGCGCTGGAAATATAAAGCGGATAGCACAAAGGTAAAAGTAACAACTCCTTATAATATGGTATAAAAGTGCAGCACTAAAATTAAATAAATAATATTAATGAGAGTTAATCAAGTGCAATGCTGGTCTGAGGTACAGCGATAAGGTAAATAGTAAACGGAACAATCATGTGCAACTTATAAAGTGAAAACATATAAGCATAAAAAAAAAACATTCAATGAATGTGGAACAGTCAAGTGCAACATGTAAAGTGGAAATAAAGTCTCTCTCTCTCTCTCTCTCTCTCTCTCTCTCTATATATATATATATATATATATATATATATATATATATCAGTATGATATAAACTAAAAAAAGTCTGTGGAAGCATGGTGAAACACTGTGAAATGATCCAGAAAGAAAATCCACCACCTCTGTCGGATGTACACTTACCAGACAACTACTGGTAAACAGCATGTAAGCACATCTCATGTGGACATAGAAACAGCAAAGAAGCCTCTGTATGGAATGCTCCGCCAAGGGCAAACTGTAGGTGTACTCTCTCCTACGAACGATAGCTCACCACAGGAACAGAAATATAGTGTAGTATTTTATTAAGCAATAAACAATAAACAAAAGACAATCCACGTGGAAGATAGTAAAAAATGGAGTTCCAAGATGGCCGCCTCTCCGACCTTTGGCAGCGGCGGCGTGATGTCAGCAAGTGCGGCTCCACCCTGATGGTGGGTTTTTTCTTTCAGCCTTTAAAAGCTCCTCTTCTAACACGCCTGTAAATGCCTATGTATGTGTGAACATACAGGCAAGATAAATGGGCATTTATAAGCTGGAAAAAAAAACATCAAACGCTTATAAAAGCTGAGTTTTTTACATTCCCTGTGCAGAAGGCACAGAGGGGGAATTGTTATGCCGTCATTGATAGCAGTACATTCTTAGCCTCTCCTATGTATTCAACAATACAGGGCTCTCTAGTTGAAGCTGCTACTTTTGTTGGCACAATATCAATGACATTTACTAAGCTATATAAATATTTATTTTTATTATTGCTTGCTTTTATTGTGTGCCATTACTTCCATAAGCAGCATGTCAGAAGGTTTAAACATAGAATTTGTTAAATGACATGCCAGTATCTTATCCCATTGATTACATATATTCAGTATCTGATGACTGAATTAGTCCCTTTTATTTATTAAACGGCGCAAACTGGTGTTTTCACTTTTTTAAATCATGTTAAACCCCAAAATATTGCAAATTTCATCAGCACAAAACATCATGACCAAGTTCCTTTTTTTATTATCATTATTATTTTAACACCAATATTTGATAAAATGATTAATGCAGTAAAGTAAAACATACAACCAGTAGTAATAATGCTCATTTTTCTTTCTTAGTTTTGGAATAGTCTTCCTTCACGTTTTCAAAACGTTTTAGAATTGATTTCGACAACAGCAAAGGATAAAAAATACTGTCTGGAAAGAGGTCAATGGCATAACTCTGAAACAATAAAAAAAGGACATGAAGTGCCAGTTAGAACTAGAATAGAACTGCAGATCCAGCAAAGCCTTTCACTATCTTATACAATACTTTTACTGTATGTATATATGTGTACTACATGTAGATTATGTGGCACAGCTTTGAGGACTTCCAAGCAGGACTGGGACAAGGGGTGGGCAGGAGGGACAGCTGCCCATGGCACAGTGATACCGGGAGAACCCTCCCACCACTTGCATGCTCCAGATAAATGGCTGGCAACCAGTGGACTTTGACTTCAAGTCTGTTCTGACAGCTACAGCTGTCACACTGCTCTAACTACCTTCTGTCTGTTGGAAAGCAAGCAAATGGACACGCATGTGCAGTGCACACTCCATGTCAACTATGAGCAGCAACAGAAAGGGGCCAGGGGATGGGCACAGAGAATGGGCTACTTCATGCATTAGCAGTGGGGGGAGGGGATTGCTGTGCTGCATCCTTGCCCAAGGCGCTGGACGCACCTTTCCAAGACTTTTAAATGGTAAAGTAACTGAACAGAAGCATGATTTTTCACAGGGCTGAATAAATGTGTACTACTTCTCACAAGGTGCATGTTCTCATTTCTAAATGTACCACAATGACATCAGATTCTCCGTGCGTTATGTAAGGTTGCATAAACTTGTAGAGGATTGCGTAATTACCAATTAGTAGTGTTGGGCTAGATGTTCGAGTCGGACATAAGTTCGACTTGAACATCGGCGGTTTGTGTATTCCGCGAACACACGAACATTTGGTGGGCTGTTTTCCCACCGCACCCCTCAATGCACTGCACCCTAACAGTGCACTGTGATTGGCCAAAGCAATGCACCTGACCACAGGTTAGGAACAATGTTTTGGCAAATCACAGAGCATGATAACGTCACAATGGAGTGGGATGACCCCGCCCCCTTGCGACAACAGCACAGTACTCAAGAATTGTCATCCTGGCGCAGCTGTCAGATGGTGGGAGCCAGCATCAAGAGTGGAGTGTTGTTTTTTGGGTCAGAGGTGATGGCGGGCATCGTGATTGACATTGGATCTGCTTTGGGGCACATTTTTTTTATTTTTGTTTTTAATAAAAGACTTAACAAAACTGTCTACTGTCATTTTTTATACTACACCTTTTTTTGTACCATGTACTCCATACTCATTCACATGGGGGGGCAGGATCTGGGGGCCCCCTAATTAAAGAGCAGATCAGGAGATGGGGAGGATTAAATGAGGACCGCAGTGGGGACACATCAGGGGACAGCAGGAACAATAAAAACCAGGGGACAGCACTGAGATCACACATTCTGCTTAGGAGAGCTGATGTTGTCTTCTGTTCAGTGTCACTCACTTCTTGCCAAGAACTTTCTCTCCATCTCCCCTCTTTCACTTTCTCCCTCCCCCTCTCCTCCTCTCCCTCTCCCCCCCTTTCTCTCCCCCTCCTCTCTCCCTCTCCACCCTCTCTCTCTCCATCCTCCTCTCCCCCCCTCTCTCCCCCCCCCTCTCTCCCTCCTCCCCATCTATCTCCCCCCTCTCTCTCCTCCTCCCTCTCTGCCTCCCCCTCTCCCCCCCCCCTCTCTCTCCCTCTCCACCCTCTCTCTCTCCATCCTCCTCTCTCTCCGTCTCCCCCCTCTCCCCCCTCTCTCTCCCTCCCTCCCCATCGATCTCCCCCTCTCTCTCCTCCTCCCTCTCTGCCCCCCCTCTCTCCCCCTCTCTCTTCCTCTCCCCCCCCCCTCTCCCTCCCTCTCTCTCTCCCCCACTATCCCCTTTCTTTCCTCCCTCTCTCCCTCTCTCTCTCCCTACCTCCCTTTCTCTCTCTCGCTCGCTCGCTCCCTCTCTCTCCCTCCCCCCTCTCTCCCCCACTATCCCCCCTCTCTCCCCCCTCTCTCTCCCTACCTCCCTTTATCTCTCGCTCACTCCCTCTCTCTCTCCCTCTCCCCCCTCCCTCTCTCTCCCCCACTATCCCCTCTCTCTCCCCCCTCTCTCCCTCCCTCCCTCTCTCTCCCTACCTCCCTCTCTCTCGCTCGCCGCTCCCTCTCTCTCCCTCCCTCTCTCTCCCTCTCTCTCAACTTCCTGTACCCAACATGGAGTCCTGCATTAAGACCCAGCCTGGTTCAAACTGCTATCACATGTGATTCGCAGAGAAATCACACAGCATTCCTGTGCAAATTACATGCGATTTTTTTTCAGCAGTGAGATTTGAGCCTTTTCATTTTGTATGTAAATTGCAAAATGGTGCAGGAAACTTTTTTTTTTTACTGCACCAGAATCGGACCGCATGGGTGTCAATACACTTGCAATTCTGCAATTTACACTGCATTTTGCAAACTGATTTTTGGGGTGTCTTTAACCTAACGTACACACCTACAGCGGTTCACATGAACGGAGTGCGAATTTGATGCAGTGCTGGAAATGCACAGAAATCGGTAAATTCCACACCGTATCAGTGTGAACCAGGCCTAGGCCCAGTTCAGACTGATGCAGTGCAGAATTCACACTGATGTAGTACAGAATTCACACAGGTTTCTGAGGATTTCCAGCACTGCATCAAACTTGCACTCCTTTCATGTGAACTGCATAAAACATAGAACAGTTTTTTATGTGGTTCACAGCTGGGGGGCAGTGTAGGGGCTAGGTGGAGGAACTGGTGGCAAGTAACTCTTAAGGCCTGGTTAGTAGCACTTGAAATTTTGAGCCCTGTACTATACATCAGTCAGACTAATTTGATTTAAAGGAGAAGTGTGACCAAAGTCCTACGTCTCCTATGGACGTCACTGAGCTGCTCCAGGCTCTGAAAAGATCACGATTATATGGTTGGGATCCATCTAGATGCCATGATTGGCAGCTGGATTAGCCACTCAGAGACCTGCTGAAAGCCTGAGCCAGCCTCTTCCACACTCTAAACAGCCCAGCACTCTAGTAAAGTGCTAGAGGGGTAGAGCAGAGAGCTGGTGGCTGACAGTCACCGGCTCTCTGCTCACTGAAGACCAAGAATTGAGTGATCAGCGGCCTTTGATCACTTAGTTCTCAGTCTTAGAAGAGGGGGACTTGAGCAGAAACATACTGTGCAGTATCTCCACCACTCCATTGCACCTATGTAGCATACAGCCTGAGTTTTGGTGTGCTGGCCAAAATGCTGCATGCACAATTTTTAGTCCATTGCAGTGTGTTAGGCAGCCCAGTGAAATGACACATAAACGTGTATCAATAGATACAGTATGGTGAGTGTTACCCTAAGAATAATGGAGCCACATCAGCCAAAGACTGATAAGCTACAATATATTGAATTTTTGTTCTTGGTTTAAATAAATTTTAATGACAATTTATTATCTGTGGCAGCTGTGCATATGGGGTGTGTGTGTGAGATAACGGTCTCCTGTACAGGAGCATGTACAGCGGGGTAAAATAAGTATCGAACACCTCACCATTTTTCTCAGTAAATATATTTCTAAAGGTGCTATTGACATGAAATCTTCACCACATGTCTGTAACAACCCATGCAATCCATACATACAAAGACCAAAAACAAATAAGTTCACAAATTAAGTTATGTGTAATAAAATGGAATAATACAGGGAAAAAGTATTGAACACGCTAACTGAAATTTATTTAATACTTTGTACAAAATTCCTTTGTTGGTGATGACAGCTTCAAGAAGCTTCCTGAATAGAGAAACTAGTTGCATGCATTGCTCAGGTGTGATTTTGGCCCATTCTTCCACACAGTCTTCAAATCTTGAAGGTTCTATGGGTCTCTTCTATGAACTCTGATCTTTAGGTCTTTCCATAGATTTTCTATTGGATTCAAGACAGGTGATTGGCTGGGCCATTCTAGCAGCTTTATTTTATTTCTTTGAAACCAATTGATTTTCCTTGGCTTTGTGTTTGGGATCATTGTCTTCCTGAAATGTCCACCCTCATGTCATCTTCATCATCCTGGTAGTTGGTAGCAGATTTTTATCAAGAATGTCTTGGTGCACATTTCCATTCATGCTTTCTTCAACAAGAGGAGGGAGATCAAGGACAGCCTGCATCCCCTTACTACTCCTGTAATTCCCACTTTGGTGGAGGGGGAGCTTGTGGAGGAGGGGTGGTGGGAGGGCTGTTTGTGCTGGGAAGGGTAATTGGGGGGGATGTGGCAGCATTTGCACTAGGAAAGGGGAATTTGGGAGGATTTGTGTTAGGAAGGGGGGGAATGGGGGGGGATTAGTGCTAGGAGGGGGAAATTGGGGAAGATTACTGCTAGGAGGGAGGGATTTGCACTAGCAGGGGGATTTGGGTAGGGACGGGATTTGTGCTGGGATGGGTAATTTGTAAGTGGTTGTGCTAGGAGTGGGGATTGGGGGGGGGGAATTTGTACTAAGAGATGGGACTTGGGGGGGGGGGGGTTGTGCTGGTGATAAGGGGTAGTGTTGGTACTGGGAGATTTGGAAAGAGGATTTACTCTAGGAGTGGGGGTTTGTACTGGGGGAGGGATTGGGGAGAGAATTTTTACTAGAGGGGGAATGTGGGGAGAGAGTTTGATTTTTTGGGGGAATGGAAAATTTGTGTGGAATTGGGGGGGGGGGGGATTTGAGCTGGAAGGTGGAATTGGGGGGAAAAGATTTGTGTTGGGAGGATGGGGATATTTTACATTTTTGGTGGGGCAGAATTCAGGCTTGCAGAAGGAATGTACAGTTGCAAGAAAAGTATGTGAACCCCTTGGGATTACGTGGATTTTTGCATGAATTGGGCATAAAATGTGCTCTGAACATCATCTAAGTCACAACAATGGGAACACAGTCTGCTGAACATAATACTACACAAACATTAGATGTTTCCATGGTTTAATTGCACATAACATGTAAACATTCACAGTGCAGGGAGGAAAAAGTATGTGAGGCCCTAGCTTAATGACTTCTCCCAGAGCTAATTGGAGCCAGGAGTGAGCCAACCTTGACTCCAATCAGTGTGATGATATTGGATGTGTTGCTGACAGCTGTCCTGCCCTTAAAAACACACACCTGTTTTGTGTTTACTGGTTTCAAGAAGCACTGTCTGATGTGAACCATGCCTCTCAGAAAAGAGCTCTCAGAAGACCTACGATCAAGAATGTTGACTTGCATGAAGCTGGAAAGGGTTACAAAAGTATCTCCAAAAGCCTTGATGTTCATGTGTCCACGGTAAGACAGACTGTCTACAAATGGAGAAAGTTTAGCACTGTTGCTACTCTCCCTAGGCGTGGTCGTCCTGTAAAAATGACTGCAAGAGCACAGCGCAGATGCTGCATGAGGTAAAGAAGAATCCCAGAGTGTCAGCTAAAGACCTACAGAAATCTCTGGCAGATGCTAACATTTTTGTTGACACATCTACAATAAGGAAAACATTAAACAAGAATGGAATACAAGGGAGGACACCACGGAGGAAGCCATTGCTGTCCAAAATGAATATTGCAGCACGTTTGAAGTTTGCAAAAGAGCACCTGGATGTTCCACAGCACTACTGGCAAAATATACTGTGGACAGATGAAACCAAGATTGAGTTGTTTGGGAAGAACACACAACACTATGTGTGGAGAAAAAAAGGCACAGCACACCAACATCAAAACCACATCCCCACTGTAAAACATGGCGGAGGGAGCATCATGGTTTGTGGCTGCTTTGCTGCCACAGGGCCTGGACGGATTGTTGTCATTGATGGGAAAATTAATTCCAGAGTTTATCAAGACATTATGCAGGAAAACGTACAACCATCTGTCCGCCAACTGAAGCTCCGCAGAGGATGGGTGATGCAACAGGACAATGACCCAAAGCATACAAGTAATTCAACAAAACAATGGCTGCAACAGCACAGAATACGCCTTCTGGAGTGGCCCAGTCAGAGTCCTGACCTCAACCAGATTGAAATGCTGTGGAATGACCTTAAGAGAGCGATTCACACCAGACATCCCAAGAATATTGCTACACTGAAACAGTTTTGTGAAGAGGAGTGGTCCAAAATGACTCCAGATCGTTGTGCAGGTCTGATCTGCAACTACAGGAAACGTTTGGTTGAGGTTATTGCTGCCAAAGGAGGGTCAACCAGGTATTAAGTACAAAGGTTCACATACTTTTTCCTCCCTGCACTGTGAATGTTTACATGTTATGTGCAATTAAACCATGGCAACATCTAATGTTTGTGTAGTATTATGTTCAGCAGACTGTGTTCTTCTATTGTTGTGACTTAGATGACGTTCAGAGCACATTTTATGCCCAATTCATGCAAAACTCCACGTAATCCAAAGGGGTTCACATACTTTTTCTTGCAACTGTATGCTTATGGGGTGGGTGTATTGATTCGTTCTTTTTTTGGAGGGGGGAGGCAAGAGAACAGGTTATCACCTTCACCTTGAGTGCTAGATGAGCCACAATGATTGCCCACATTGCACACAAGGCACTCAACAGATCACCTCCCCCACATAACACATAGCTAAGATAAGACACAGCATTGATCTGCACAATGTGTAGCTGGCTGCTATGTTGCAGTTCTGACTTGTGAAATTTCCAGATTGTATTGGCAGCTGCAGTAGTCAGCTACACACTGTGTGGAGGGATACCGATATCAGCTATGTGTATTGTGGGAAGAGGAGATCTCTTAAGTGTCCTGCAAGCAGTGACCCTGTCCTCAACTCTGCTGACCACTGTCTTCCGCCATGCTGACCCCTGTAACCTACCCTGCTAACCTCTGTCCTGTTGACCCCTGTCCTCTGCCATGCTAACCCCTGTTCACTGCCTAGATAACCCAGTGTACACTCCCCTACAAACTAATGGCCTTTGTACACTGTCCTACAAACTGCTGACCCTATCTTCTGCCCTGCTGACCCCCTGTACTCTGCTCTACTGATTCTTATACACTGCCCTGTCGACCTTGCATCTTCTTCCCCCCTGATATTTTTCACTGCACCCCAAATCAGACAGGTTGGATCTGGCCCTGCTTTAAAGGAGCTTCAACATGCTTTTTCTTCAGCAATGGATTCTTGCGTGGTGAGCGTGCATACAGGCCATGGCGGTTGAGTGCATTACTTATTGTTTTCTTTGAAACAATTGTACCTGCTAATTCCAGGTCTTTCTGAAGCTCTCCACAAGTGGCCCTTGGCTCTTGGACAACTCTTCTGATAATTCTTTTGACTCCTCTGTCAGAAATCTTGCAATGGGCATCTAGTTGTGGCCACTTCCAGATTATGGCCCCAACAGTGCTCACTGGAACATTCAGAAGTTTAGAAATCCCTCTCTAACCAATGCCATTAGTATGTTTTGCAACAATAAGGTTGCAAAAGTCTTAAGAGAGGTCTTTGCTTTTACCCATCATGAGATGTTTATTGTGTGACACCTTGGTAATGAAACACCTTTTATAGGCCATCATTTGAGACTGAACCAGCTGATATTAATTTGCACTGACAAGGGGCAGGATTGCTTTCTAATTACTGATAGATTTCAGCTGGTGTCTTGGCTTTCCATGCCTTTTGACACCTCCCTTTTCTTCATGTGTTCAATACTTTTTCCCTGTTTCATTCCATTTTATTACACATAATATAATTTCTGAACTTATTTGTTTGGTTTCTTTGTATGGAATGCATGGGTTGTATCTGACATGCTCTGAAAATTTTATGTCAATAACACCATTAGAAATATATTTACTGAGAAAAAATGGTGATGTGTTCAATACTTATCTTACCCCCTGTGTGAATATATATGTGTATATATACATACACATACACACACACTGTATATATACATACACATACACACACACACTGTATATATATATATACACATACACACACACACTGTATTATATATATATATATATATATATATATATATATATATACAGTGGGGATCGAAAGTTTGGGCACCCCAGCTAAAAATTTGTATTAATGTGCATAAAGAAGCCAAGGAAAGATGGAAAAATCACCAAAAGGCATCAAATTACAGATTAGACATTCTTATAATATGTCAACAAAAGTTAGATTTTATTTCCTTCATTTACACTTTCAAAATAACAGAAAACAAAAAAATGGCGTCTGCAAAAGTTTGGGCACCCTGCAGAGTTAATATCTTGTACTGCCCCCTTTGGCAAGTATCACAGCTTGTAAACACTTTTTGTAGCCAGCCAAGAGTCTTTCAATTCTTGTTTGAGGTATCTTTGCCCATTCTTCCTTACAAAAGTCTTCCAGTTCCTTTGAGATTTCTGGGCTGTCTGTCACGCACTGCTCTTTTAAGGTCTATCCATAGATTTTCAATTATGTTGAGGTCAGGAGATTGTGAAGGCCATGGCAAAACCTTCAGTGTACGCTTCTTGATGTAATCCCCCGTGGATTTCGAGGTGTGTTTAGGATCATTATCCATTTGTAGAAGCCATCCTCTCTTTAACTTCAGCTTTTTCACAGATGGCATCAAGTTACCATCCAAAATTTGCTGAAATTTTATTGAATCCATTTTTCCTTCTACTCGTGAGATGTTCCCTGTGCCACTGGCTGCAACACAACCCCAAAGCATGATTGATCCAACCCCATGCTTAACAGTTGGACAGAGGTTCTTTTCATTAAATTCTGTGCCCCTTCTTCTCCAAACGTACCTTTGCTCATTCCGGCCAAAAAGTTCAATTTTAACCTCATCGGTCCACAGAACTTGTTTCCAAAATGCATCAGGCCTGTCTATATGTTCATTTGCAAAGTTCAAACGATGATTTTTGTGGTGGAGACGTAGAAGAGGTTTTCTTCTGATGACTCTTCCATGAAGACCATATTTGTACAAGTATAGTGGAATAGTGTACCACAACTCCAGTGTCTGCCAGATCTTTCTGGAGGGATCGTGCAGTCAAACGTGGGTTTTGAATTGTTTTTCTCACAATCCTGCGAGCTGTTCTGTCTGATATTTTTCTTGGTCTTCCAGATCTTGCTTTAACTTCCACTGTTCCTGATGACTGCCATTTCTTAATTACATTCCGAACAGAGGATATTGACATCTGAAAACACTTTGCTATCTTCTTATAGCCTTCTCCAGCTTTGTGAGCGTCAACTATTTTCAGTTTCAGTTTTCTAGACAACTGCTTAGAAGAACCCATGGTGCTGATTGTTGGGGCAAGGTCAGATGAGTCTGGGCATTTAAAACCTTTGAGATTGACATCACCTGGTCTTCCCAGACGATGATTGAGAACAATCCATGACACTGGCAGGTCTCAGCTTGGCAAAGGGGGCAGTGCATGCTATAAATTCTGCAGGGTGCCCAAACTTTTGCAGACGCCATTTTTTTGTTTTCTGTTATTTTGAAAGTGTAAATGATGGAAATAAAATCTAACTTTTGTTGACATATTATAAGAATGTCTAATCTTTAATTTGATGCCTTTTGGAGATTTTTCCATCTTTCCTTGGCTTCTTTATGCACATTAATACACATTTTTAGCTGGGGTGCCCAAACTTTTGATCCCCACTGTATATATATATATATATATATATATATATATACACATACACACACACTGTATATCTAGAGTGGGTGATATCAGAAAAGTAAGCACGGACAAACAACAAACAAATCTTATTCCCTTTAATTACCAGAAAGCTGACAAACAACAAACAAATCTTATTCCCTTCAATTACCAGAAAGCTGAACCACATTAGGCTCTGACAGACCACATCATGGCATGGCTCCAATTTGTATTACTCAACCACAAGAATTGGAGATGCTGTTACCTGGAGGGAGTGTGAGAGACATCCGCTGGTCCTGCTTGTGTATCCCACAGTGTTCAAAGCTTCACAAGCAAAGTCGTCTGGAGATTTCACAAATATGTTCGTCTTCATCTTATAGGTCATGTCCGTTGAGACCAACAATGGCATCACACTCTGTGACAACAATTTCACCAGTTAGGGAAAACAACACAAGTCCATTTAAGGCTCCATGCACACGGGGCGTTTTATGAACGCTGGTAACGTTAGCTGTGTAAAGTCACGTTAACAATGGGAGTTTTTCAGTGTCTTTTAGCATTTTTGTATTAGCGTTTTGCCGCGTTTTTTTCGCGTTTGTGTTTTTTGAATTTATTTTTACCCCCCCAAATTTTTAAAATTAATAGTAAAAAACAGTCCAAAATAATGCTGATTTACCACGATTTACCATGTTTTGCCGCGTTTTTCAGTGTTATAGCGATTTTACAGCTAAAAAGCTCCTCTAGAAACTCACTAGTTCTGGGGGTATTTTCCAGCTAAAAAACGTTGATTACAGTCTATGTGTGCATGGAGACATAGGATAACATGCTGGGGGGTTTACTGGCTGTAGAATGTCAAAAGCCAAAAACAGCCGCTGTAAAAACGTCCAGTGTGCATGAGGACTAAAGAATCCTTTCACAATTTCATGATTAGATTACATTATACAAACACTGGTAAATCAATGCATAATATTAATGTGCCCTTTGTTAATGTGGAATAGAGGAGCACTAAGTTACAGTAACCAGGCTACAGCAGCTAAAGGCAAGGTGTATATGACCAGATTGAGATACTCTGCACCACATTCAGCAAAGCTGAAGAGAACTGCATACAGTCAGTGTAACTGCTGCCTATAGGATGCACCCTAGGTTCACAACTAAGCGTTTTCTACAGCGGTTTGCATTTTACAGAAAACACACTACAGTCCATTTAACATGATTTCCTATGAGACACGTTCACATCTCCGCATTTTCACCCAGTGCATTTTTTGGAAAGGGTCAGGGACTTTTTTGAACGCAAAAAGTTGCATTTCTGGTTCTATAGACTTCGATAGAGACACTGCAGAAAAGCATGTAGTGCGTTTTTGCTGTGTTTTTTACGCGTTTTGCATTTTAAATCTGCCTAGCCACAAGAAAAAAACCTAAAATAAAAAAAACCGCAAAACGCATCAAAAACGCATGTGCAAAAACGCAACGCAAAACACACTGCAGAAACGGATCAAACGCAAACTGCATAGGTTTGAACCTAGCCTTAGGCTGGCCATACATGGATCGAAATTCGACCAATTTTTTGTCCGAAAATTGGACCAAAGAATAATCTGCCTATTTTCGCTGTGTTAGTGTGTCAATGGCACTGGACGATTTTCGTGGTTCCTCCCCTTTTTGGTGATCGGGCATGTTGGAAAATTCTTGAAAAATTACCGATTTTTGACTCAATGATGGTCAAATCGTACGATCATTTTTCCAAAAAGAATATGCGCATGAGCCGTGACTTGGAAGGAACAGAAGTTTTGCCTGTTATATTGGGTGAACTTTATGACTTAGTCGGCCAATTTTCAAAATCAACTTTTGGTGCGATTTGCATACACATCTGTGTCCAATGTCTTGCAAATCGCACCTGAAATTGGCATGTTCCCCAACTTTGAAATCGTGCGACTTCGGCAGTACCATTTGCCAGATGTGACACGCCCTTTCATTTTTGCTGCAGTTGTGAAGCAAAGCATCACAGCTGAAGAGGTGGTACAGCCCTGGACGGCTGTATACGGTTGTCTAGGCTGGCGGTCAGGGACAGTAAGACCACTCAACCCCCCCTGCCACCCATGTGAATGAGCCCTAATACAGACAGGACTACTAATAGTAGACTGTCTGCACATTATAGTGAAGTGTACAGCTGAAATCACACTTCCATGATTTGTAGCTTGAAGCTACAAAAATACAGGCATACTTTGGTTTATGAATTTAATTCGTTCTGCGGGACTTTTCGTATAGCAAAAAATTAGTAAACCGAAACACCGTTTCCCATAGGAATGCACTGAAAACCAATTAATCCGTTCCGGAGGTCATATTAAAATACCACATGAGTTATTTTATCAATCATGCGGTATTTTAGTAGTGACAACCATGTGTTAATGTTTCAGCTGTCAGCGGAGTTCCCCACTAACAGCTGAATGTAAAAGAAAGAATTGCCAGCAATTAAAAAAATAATAAAATAATAATAAAAAAAATAATTTAAAAAAATGGCGTGGGGTCCCCTCTCCCATCCATACCAAGCTCTTCGGTTCTGATATGGATTTTGAGGGGAACTCCCACACCAAAATGTACAAGAAAATGGCGTGGGGGTCCCCCCCAAAATCCATACAAGACCCTTATCTGAGCACACAGCTCGGCAGGTCAGGAAAGGGGGGAGATGAGCAAGCGCCCCCCCCCCCCTGAACCATACCAGGATACATGCCCTCAACATGGGGGGGTGCCTTGGGGCAGGGGGCTCCCCCCCAAAGCACCTTGTCCCCATGTTGATGGGGACAAGGGCCTCTTCCCCACAACCCTGGCCAGTGGTTGTGGGGGTCTGTGGGCAGGGGGTTTATCGGAATCTGGAAGCCCCTTTTAACAAGGGGGGCCCCAGATCTTGCCCCCCCCCATGTGAATGAGTATGGGGTACATGGTCCTCGATACTCATTCCTAAAAAAAAAAAAAAAAGTGTAGTGTGAAAAAAGACAGGACACGGTCTTTGACAAGTCCTTTATTAAAAGAAAAAACTAAAAGAATGTCCCCCGCAGTAGATCCAACGTCAATCATGAAGTCCACCACCGCCGCCGACCTGAAAAAAGAATTTAAAAAAAGGCTCCGCTCCCGACGCTGGCTCCCGGCCATCAGCCTCTGAGCTGGCTTGACAGTTCTTAAATATGTAAGGTGACATCAAGCGTGTGGCCCCACCTGGTTGTGACATCAATGACCCAGCATGCCCCGGTTGATCAACATGGGGACAAGGTGCTTCGGGAGGGGGAGCCCTCCCTGTCCCATAGCACCCCCCCAAGTTGAGGGCATGTGGCCTGGTCGCTCGTCCCCCCCCCCCTTTCCTGACCTGTCGGGTTACAAGGGTCTGGTATGGATCTTGGGGGGGGGGCCCCACGCCATTTTGTTTTAATTTAGGTGTGGGGGTTCCCCTCAAAACCCATACCAGACCTGAAGGGCTTGGTATGAATGGAGGGGGGACCCCACGATGTTGTTTTATTTATTATGGTGCTGGTTTTTAAATTTAATTACTGCTTTTTTTTTTCTTCACTATAGCTCAGAGATTCAGCTGTCACTTTCCCCCCAGCTAAAAGAAAGAAAGTTTTCTTTTAGTTTATTTCCCTGAATTAAAAGAAACAATGATTCCTTTTTGTTTCTTAAAAGAAACAAAGTTTTCTTTAACTCCAGGGAAAATAACAGCTAATTCTGTGAGCTATAGTGAAGAAAAAAAAAGCTGGCAATTGCATTTAAAAATCGGCACCGGCATACACTTCTTATTGTGAAAAAAATTTGTAAAACAATTCGTAAACCGAGGCATTATTTTCAATGGATTGTCATTCGTAAACCGAAAATTACGTTAACCGAGGCGTTTGTAAACCGAGGTACACCTGTGCTTAAAACTTCTCTCTATGGTGCCTGTTCCATAGAGAACAAAGGATTTGATATGTTTAGCATTTTTGTAGCTTCAGGCTGCAAGTTACAAAACGCTCAAGTATGAATGCAGCTTAGAGAGTTCAGATTAAATGTCACTGAATACTGAACAAACTGGTTCTCTACTTGCTGACTGGGCAGTAAAATGTTTCAACAACTCTACTTGTCTGTACTTTATCTAATCTGTTTACTTTCAAATGCCTCTCCTGATTGTTTTATGATTACTGCAACCAATATAAGGGAGTCTCCGTGCTGTAAAGCACTCACCTTTATACATTCATACACTTCAGAATTATTACTATGCTACATAAGTGATAGGCAATTATTTGCTGCCTGAACTGTAAAGTTCACTTGTGAGCCGAGAAAAATACTGCAATATGTACAAATATAGAGAATGCTACAGTATCATGCATAGAAATGAAATTTCCCAGGACTTCAAACCAAGAGCCATTTACCTGCACTGTTATACCCTTAGACTTGTACTCCACATGTAGACCACGAGAAAAGAAATCCACAAAGACCTGCAGAACAAAGGATTAATGGGTTTCGGTAATTAACAAAAAGGAAATCAAAGTATCACAATTAGAATGATACTATTTAAAGTGTTACTAAACCCACAACAGTAAAATCAGTCTGTATATGCAGTAAAGTATGCTTGTTATACTCACTGTGAAACCTAAGGGGTTAATCCCTCTGCATTGTGTAAAAAGGCTGTTTGATCCTTTCTTCTCTGCCCCTCCACTTGTTGAAATGACCACCTGATACAAACTGAATCCGTAGTTGCATGCACATGCTCAGTTTGGTGTGTATTTCTAGAGGGTTTTTTTTTGGGAGAGTGCATGTGATTAGCAAAGGGCTAATCAGCACTGTCCAGACAGAGGGTCAGGGGGTTTCACATCATCCTTGAGCAGAAAGAAAGCTCCTCCTACAAGCTTTAACCAGTGCTCTGCTGAAGTCACAAGACTGCTCTAACTGCTGATGATGAGAAAAGGTATTTAGCAGTTTATATTTACTAAAATAATTGCATTTCCATGTTGTGTGTACTGTGGGAGACCAGATATAGTGAATGCAGGGTCCTGGGTTTAGTAACACTTTAAATATATTTGTGATACATGTAACATATATAATAAATATATATAGTTGCCTCCAGGACTTCTCCCGAGCTTCTCTCATCCTATGGAACTCCCTACCCCAATGTGTCCGGCTGTCTCCTAATCTATCCACCACCTCCATTTATTTCCTCCGTCAGCTCATCCCGACACAGCTATTACCCTTACTCAACCCTTCCTCCTAGATTGCAAGCTCTAACAAGCAAGGCCCTCTGTTTACAATTGTATTGTAACTGTTATGTCTACCTTCATTTTGTAAAGCACTGAGCAAACTGTTGGCACTATATAAATCCTGTATAATAACAATAATGAATAGACTGTAAGGGTAGATTTAGATGTTTGTCTAAATCTCCCTTTCCTCTGAAGCCCAAACTGTGTTTGGATCGCACTTCAGATGCTACTGACAGGCAGTGAGGAAGCGATGTGACGCCTCCTCCCCAACTGTTTAACTCCATTTTTGCCAACAAATGTACTACAACCAGGGTGTTTGTGGCACTTCCCCATTTTCCTGCCGGTCAATGTCGGGTAAACTTTACAGCAGGACAGAAGCCTTGTGACTGTGGCATGTAAACACCTCCGTCTGCTGCCTATTGCAGCTTAAGGGAGGGCATTTGGCAAAAACGCGGCTCAGCCACACATTTTTGCCTCCCACCATGAGGCCTAAAGGTTACTGTGTTCAGCATACAGATAACTAAGGTCTCTTTCAGATGGGCGGTAAGGGGAGGACAGTAAAAACTGAGACATAGTTTTACAACCCCCTGGCTGCCCACCCAAACTGTACAATAATAGCTTGACAGGGCTGTTCACACGCTGTGGCTGAGATGCTTTGCTGCATGGCCACAGCAATTTTAGCTCGGGATGCAGAGTTTGACAAGTGGTGCCACACACTGAGTTCATTGAGTTCAATGGGAATGCCCCACAACCACGGGCAATGCACCCAAGGAGGCAAGGTGCTCTTATCATGATCTAACATTTAAGGTTATGGGGAAATTAGTCACCCGTGGTGGCAGTAGAATGTATGACTACATACAGTATAAGGGGGGTGAATATCCTTAGTAAAGGATACATTTTTTTTTTGCAAGTTATGGTACTTTTTCTGTTCTTGAAATTCTGTTCAATTAAAAAAAATTATTTTGTGTGCATTTCCAAATTTGCAGCCTTAGTTAAATCCCAATTGAAACTTGTAAAAGGCACCCATTGTTAAAGCCCATCTCTGGGCAGATAAAAAAAAAAATACCCCTTTCAGTGGAGCTGTGCCAGCACTGCAAGGGTTAATAGCTCATTTTGTCTAGGGGAGAGGAGAAGCACTGGAGAACCTTTACTAAAACTGGTGCACTAAGAATCTGATGCAGCTGTGCATGGTAACCAATCAGCGTCTAACTTCACCTTGTCCAATTAAGCTTTTGCAATAAAACCTGGAAGCTGATTGGTTACTATGAAGAGTTGCTCCAGGTTTAGCACTCTCCAGTTTTAGTAAATAACCCCCACTGTCTGCAGAGGTCTGAAATTGGCCCTGCTGAGTCTAAACCAGAGTTCTCCATTCAGTAAAGCTCACACTTCTAGCTGATTGGACAGCCCTAAACTTAGCCGCTTCCCGTCAGCCCTATAGCAGATATACTGCTACAGGGTGGCACGGGTGTGCAAAATCACATATATATAAGTGATTTTGCATTTCTGGGCAGGGGGCATGCACAAGGAGCACATGCGCTCTACCTGCACCGCCATTCACAGCCATGGCTGTCAATCACCGGGTCCTGGCCGGTGATTACTCGCTGGCGCCCAGTGATTGCCGAGGATCTCTGACGGGGAGGAGTACTGTTAGTAAACAAAACAGTTCACCTCCCTGTCAGCTTCTGCACACTGCTTTGAATGGCTGTACACAGCACAGCCATACAAAGCAGTGTGCTTACAGTGAAGCACACAGACACCGCCCCATAGTAAAACACACCCAACACAACCCTTTGATTACCCCAGATGTTAACTCCTTCCTGCCCAGTGCCATTAATACAGTGTCAGTGCTTTTTATTAGCACTGATCACTGTATTGGTGTCACTTTCAGTGACACCAAGTCAGTTCCTCACAGTGTCAGAATTCCCGTTGCAGTCCCGCAGTTCTACTATAAGTTGCTGGTCACAGCCATTAGTAAAAATAGTAGTAAAAATTAAAAAAAAATCCCAGAATATACCGCCATTTGTAAACACTATAACTTTCATGTAACCCAATTCTTTAAATGTATTGGGATTTTTCACAATACATTTTGGCCTACATTTATGATGAAATTTGATTTTTTAAATTTTTTTACTAGACATGTTTAATACCAAAAAGTCAAAAATATATATTTTTTTCTCAAAATTGTTTTTATAGCGCAAAAAATAAAAAACATACAGGCAATCAAATACCACCAAAAGAAAGCCCAATTCGGGGGGGAAAAGGACATAAATTTCATTTGGGTGCAGCATTGCATGACTGCGCAATTGTCGGTTAAAAATAACGCAGCGCCGTAAAGCAAAAAATGGCCTGGTCAGGAAGGGGGGTAAATCCTAAGGAGGGCAAATTGTTAACAAAGCAGGGTTGCAATCTCAGACCTCTGCAGAGAAACCACTGCTTCCATAAAGAGAGCAAAGGTCCATTTTCTGCAGCATGCTGGCAAATGATAGGCTTTCCTACTCATGCTATGGCTGTAGTTTCGATTCACCTGGAATATGTTTAGTGGATTTATATTCCAATAGTTTTTATTGAACAATTTTCAAATAGCAGATAGAACAAATGAATAATACTCATGTCACAATGAGCAGATTTCAACACAATGCAAAGAACATGGTTTATCGGACATAAAACACGCAACATGAGACTAGGGACTCTGTAGAGTGCGACTGGATAATCCAAACAAAGGTCCACACCATTTATCTAGCCATATATAGGGGACGGACACAGTGGTGGAGAAAGGGAGGAGGGAAGCCAGGAAGGGAACCGGGAGGGAAGCCAGGAAGGGAACCGGGAGGGGGGGAGTTAGGGAACGTAGTGGGAGGGGAAGGGGAAGAACCATTGTTCGTGGACCTGAGATTACAAACAGAGTGTCAACTGAGGTATGACAAATGTTGCAGAACATATAGGGATTAGGCAAAACCCACCCCATAGGACAGATATTTGGTGGATACAAACTGAACGTTCAGTTGAGCTTTTAAAATATATCTCTTTAAAATGTCAACAAAAAAGACTTACTTTTGTGGAACTATATACGAGTGACATTGGATATGGGCGGTTTCCAACTTCAGAAGAAAGATTTATAATCAAGCCTTTCTTTCTGAAAGACAGTAACAAAGGTTCTGAATGAAGCCATCAGCACATTACCCAAATTTGAAGCTCCATATTTACCTCTGCAACATTTGAGGGAGAATAATCTGAGTCATCTAAAAAAGAAAAAAAGAAATGAAAGACTCATAAATGAAATTATATTACTTACCTACTGAGACCTAAAAAGTACAGGATGAGTGTCAGTAAGTATCAGAAGTGAATATCAGAAATTGCGCGCCAGCCATTACATTACCACTGACCTACTTCAGCACTGTGCTGATCTACACTATCCAACTTCCAAACACACATTGAATGCAATTTAACTTACAGTGATATTAAACACTATTTTTTTTTATGGGTGCTAAGGAGCTCTCAAGCCGGGCTATGTATGTCCATAGACACACACAGCACTGATAAGCCAAAACCCTGCTTCCTCCTCATAGAAGTTTGACTGACAGCAGCAGGAGCCTATGGCTCCCACAGTCCTCAGTGTCTACTGTGAGACCAGGAAGTGAGAGGTGTGGTGCTTCAGCCGGGACAGCGCTGGAACGGTGACAGCAGTCAGTATGTGTTTGGGGAGGGGAGTGGGGGTAGAACAGTTAGTGGGGTGATTTTTACCTTACTGCACGGAATGCATTATGGTGAAAAAAAATTAGACTTAAAAAAATTAGAATCACTTTAAAGCTTTTAATTACACTGTAAGCTTTCACCAGTAGGACCCTCCTATCCCGCTTGTATTGAATTGTATTGTAACTGTACTGTCTCCCTTTATATTGTAAAGGCCTGTGCAAACTGCAAAAACAAAAAAATATATATTGCAGTTTAACAGTTCTTAGATGTGATGGCTGCATTAGTTTGCTTTTTATAGGACTTTATTTTTACCGGGTGATGGGGCCAGTAACACACTTCCTGTCTCAGGTAGGGATCAGTTTTGAGCTACACTTTGACAGTTCAGGCATTCACCTGAATGCCCAAACTTTATCCTGTTCATATATAGAAGCATTATTTCTACTACTTCTTTATATGACAACTTTCCACTGTCACTGGTTTCTAAGAAAGCAAGCATCCACAGCGTCCATAGGAACCAATGACGTCATGGGAATCTCAGCCCCTTTTAAGCAAAGGGGCGGGGATAGCTGTGACATCACTGCCCAAATATGGACGCTGGCCGTATTTAGGCAATAACAGCAAAAATGACATTTACAAAGAAAAAAAAAATGATACAGCTTAACTACTTGCCTCCCATCCACAGTACATTTACTATGAGCTGGCAGTAGCTACAGGCTAGCTCATGCATACTGGTGAGCTCCCTAGGGGGACGTAGCGGCTTAACCTCCCTGGCGGTATGATTATTTCAGATTTTTGGTGCTGAAAGCGGTACCATTTTTTTTGCATGAAATATGTATTTTTTTTATTGTAGGCTGTAATTTTTAGGAAAAACTCACTGAAATCTGTCCGAACAAGAGTCTAGTAAACATCCCGGGTATGATAAAATTTGAAACACAAAATCATAAATTATAATTTAATAAATAATCATAAAAATAATATACAAATAATAAAAAATTTAATTCAATAATATAATCAAACCAAAAACACTGAAATGTGAAATATAGCGGCAAGTTCGCACATTGCCTCAGTCGCAAAATCCTTTTCAGTTTCTGATGACGAATTTCCCCCACGAATCATTATCACTCAATTCTGCAAGTGGCTGATTTACTATCGCTGTTCTCTAGCTGATCTAAACCGCTTTTGACCTACTGGGGACACTTTTTGGACGCCATGGACATTTCTCAGTTTCCAGGCAGAAAGAACAGACAAAATGCAGGCAGGGCGCAGGACAAAGCACTAGGGACAATATGTATGTGAAATAGGTTGAAACAGCAATGTTTTTACTGTGTAAAATGAGAAAAAAAAAAAAAAATGACATTTTTTAAAATTTTTAAATTTCCCGCCGCCGGCGGCGGCGGCGTCCGTACGTCCCGACGTCACAGGGACAGGACACAGAAGCCAGATGCCGGCATCGGCCGGAGGAGATGGCCGGGGACGCTGCAGGGGACACATCGTGGGAGCGCAGGGTAAGGTAAGTGAAGAACACATGCCGGAGCAGCGCCGCATGGTATTCCCGAGTGTAGCTCAGCTTTTGGTACTGAAATGTTACCCGAGCTACACTCGGGAATACCGCCAGGGAGGTTAATCCCATGACCGCTGTGTCCTGTGGACACAGCTGATCATGGAGCTCGGTGCCCAGCCACTACGAGCAGCCGGGGTATCATGTGATTCCTACGACCAATTATAGTGATGATGATTACAATGTAAGCAATGTACATCAAAACTGTTGAGAATGGCTTTCATTCATGACAGCTTGCTTACTGTTGTGATAATGCGATTGGCACACAGCTATCACATGGTAATTGTCACTCTGTACCAAGTGAATAGTAACCAAGCTGTCATGAATGAAAGCCATTTATGATGCTTAAAACTAATGCTTATTACAGTGATCAGCAATAATACTGTAAAAAAAAGATCCCTGATCACCCCCAGAGCAGTACAGTGTCACAATGGTGACATTAAACCACTTTAATGACAGTATTTAAAAAACAAAGATAGTAAAAAAAGAAAAAAAAAAACTTTAAAAAATTCTATAAATTTACTTTTTTCTTTTTTTTTACACATGCTATCACCAGTCAGTATCCCCGATCACCGCCACACTGGTCATATGATGATGCTGTACTGCACTGGTGACAGTATGTTAAAAAATTGTGCAAAAAAAAAAACACCCCCAATTTTTTTAATTTTTATAATTTTTTAAAAGACTATGACAAAAAAATGACAACTTCAAAAAACTCACCATGCCTCTTACTAAATACCTGGGACTGTCTACTTTCCACAAAAGGGTCATTTGGGGGGTATTTGTACTGTCCTGGCATTTAAGGGCCTCAAGAAATGAGATAGGCTGTCAGTACATCAGGATTGATCAATTTTCAAATATATATCCCATAGTTTGGAGACTCTATAACTCACACACAGACTACATAATATACATTGATTTGGGATTATTTATATTAAAGAAATGTAGAAGACAACGTTTTGGCCTAAATTTATGAAGAAAAATTATTTGTTTGTAAAACTGCATAACAGAAACAAAGAAGAACATGTTTTTTAAAAAATTTACTGTATTTTTTCATTTATATAGCAAAAAATAAAAACCCAGTGGTGTTCAAATACCACCAAAAGAAAGATCTATCTGTCTCAAAAATATGATAAAAATGTAATATTGGTACAGTGCTGCATTCCACTAAAAGTGTGACATTGCTGAACAATTGGTTTGGACTGAAAGGGGGGGAAAGTGGTTAAAGGTAGATGAGAAATAATAAACTTACTGGCCAGATCACCAGGTGAAAATAAAAGAAAAAAACTAAAAAAGACTAAAAAAAGAAAACGAATGCAGCCACCACATCTAAGGATTGCTGATCTGCAAAACATTACATTATTGATTTATGGACTAGATATACTCTAAGGAAAAGACGGTGTTAATTACAGGAACAGGAAAATAATGCCACTTTTTATCACATTGCAAATTGAAATACTTTTATTTTTGTAAGATATCCTGATCTGCAATCACTGATATATGGATGTGTTTAACAGCAAATACTAACATACACTTACCCATAATACTGACATGATATTGCAGTTGATTATTTTGTCCAACATCTAATAAATACACAGAAATGAAAATTACCACAATGCCTTCATCACGGTTTACACATAAAAACATTCTGCTGTAGTTGAGGATATTGTAGGGAATAACAGAGAACTGTCACCAGGAACATCCCCTTTTTTACACACAAATCAATGATAGTTTTAGAATTTTCTTTAATGAGAAAGAACATACCTGATCTCTGTTGGGGATATTCATATATTTGCATGGGTCCTGATTAATATTCATACCTACATTGTTTACTGAAAAAGAAAGATATTAATACCATGAAAAATGTATCAACCAATAAACAACCATTCTGTCTTTCCAGAATGTACATTACTTACTGTATAGACACCTACACCATTTCCATGGGGATAGTACTACATTGAACAGATACTTGGGGGATTCAAAACAGCCCTAATGGCACACTTCTGGTGGGCAGTTCCTTTAAAGTTCATCTTTTGAGAAAAAATAATAAATGCATATTTTTTTTGCAGGCAAAAAAAGTGCATTTATGATTTTTTTTCTAAGGACCCTGCAGAGCATTGCACCCACAATCAGCAGATCTCGGGTGCAATCTTAGGCTCCTGCACGCTCTCAGGATAGCTGTCTGCCCGTATCTCCTGTACAGGCAGGCAGTTACTTGAGAGCAGGAAGACCAATGAACTACGAGAGCATTCACCAGCGCCCTCATAGTTCATTGACAACTACAAGCTGTCAGCTGCAATGGCTGACAGGACTTGAAATCTATCCATTCACAAGAAACTGTGAATGAATGATGCGGTCGTGTGGGTGGAGCCCGAGCAGCCATGTTGTTTTCAAATAGTGACAGCATGTGTGGGAAGAAGGCCCCCCTGCCTGCTGTCACAGGGAGGAGGGGTTCGGGGGGAGAGGGTGCAGATGCTGGAGCATGTTATAGTCCTTTCACGAGGAGATTCTGTTTTTTTCATCAGTTCAGTCAAGTTTTTTCAAAGATGGATCGAAAAAAGTTTTTTAAAAAAACGGATCAGTTTACATCAGTTTTTCATCCTATTACATCTGTTCACATCCGTTTTTTCACCCGTTTACATCCGTTTTTGTCCGTTCCGGGTTTTTTTATGGAAGAAAAATTGAGTTTGGTATGGCAGTAGCCAGGGCGCTGTTATGGGGTATGGGGGTGATCAGGATGCTGCTATTAGGCATGGCGGTGATCAGGATGCTGATTTAGGGTATGACAGTGATCAGAGAGCTGATAAGGGGGGTATGGTGGTGATCAGGATGCTGGTATGGGGTATGGTGCTGATTAGGATGCTGGTATGGGGTATGGCGGTGGTCAGGATGCTGGTATAGGGTACGAGAGTGATCAGAATGCTGATATGGGGTATGGTGCTGATCAGGACGCTGTTATGGGGTATGGTGGTGATAAGGACGCTGTTATGGGGTATGGTGGTGATTAGGACGCTGGTATGGTGTATGGTGGTGATCAGGACGCTGTTTTAGGGTATGGTGGTTGTTGGATTTTATACACATATAATACTTCTTCTAGTGTCTTGAGGCGATTATGAATGAAAGAGCCATTGAAATAAAAAATGAAGTGTGATTTTATTCTATCACACAATGGTGTCAAATAACAATGTAAAGCGTATTATGAACAGTTCCATGTAGATAAAACTACTGTAGAAATAACAAACAAAAGTTCAGAGATAAAGAAAGAGTCACCATTATTAGGTATTGAAGTACGGCCATGTGCTGTGTTGTCCTGTCCTTCAAGCTCTACTTGTCCTTCTCATGTCTACTTGGGAAGAAGCAGCAAGTAGACGGAAGTTACGTTAATGATGATCTCTTGTCTTGCAGCACCTGTTCCAGCATCTCAGAAAGTTCTCATGAAAAGCCATGTGTGTGTGTGTTATGTATGAAAGAGTGTCCTGTTAGCGTATAAGTGAGAGTCTCTCATGTCCGTTGTCTCATGGTCTTTTAAGAGGCAAATTTACGTCATAGTTTCGTGATCTAAATACCTTCTATGGAAACTATTACTGATTAGCAAAGCCATTTCATATAAGGAAAGGATGCTATACATATGATGTTTGATGGACAGGAACATATGTATGCTGATGAACCCTCAGCTATATATTTAAAGAATAGTATAGCTTAAGAACATATCAATGTATAATCACTAAACTATATATGTATCAATGTTAGAGACGTATACTAAATACACACAGATACTATTAAAATACATAATGTAATAGTAAGTCACTTCTAATAACCTTGACATAACTACCAGATACTTTATGCCTAAATATAGTATACTCAACCTTCAACTGATTTAGCTAGTTCAGCTTAACTTATTCATATCTTCTTTTTTCAGACCTCAGTTTAATTTATTCATATCTTTTTCAGTCTCGGTTTAATTGAAGAATACTAATACTACCATTTGTCAAAAGACCATTTACACATATTAATATTAATTATGACTAATCATAAAAACCAAATATTTTGCAAGCTTGCCATCAATATAAGTGCCGAATCATAATTTAGATTTATTACAGTGGTGATCAGGACGCTGTTATGGGGGGGTATGGTGGTGATCAGGACGCTGGTATGGTGTATGGTGGTGATCAGGATGCTGGTATGGGGTATAGTGGTGATCAGGACGCTGGTATGGGGTATGGTGGTGATTAGGACGCTGGTATGGTGTATGGTGTCGATCAGGATGCTAGTATGGGGTATGGTGGTGATCAGGATGCTGGTATGGGGTATGGTGGTGTGATCAGGACGCTGGTATGGTATGGGGTATGGTGGTGATTAGGACGCTGTTATGGAGTATGGTGGTGATTAGGACGCTGTTATGGAGTATGGTGGTGATGAAGAATAGGACGCTGTTATGGGGTATGGCGGTGATTAGGACGCTGTTATGGGGTATGGCGGTGATTAGGACGCTGTTATGGAGTATGGTGGTGATTAGGACGCTGTTATGGAGTATGGTGGTGATTAGGACGCTGTTATGGGGTATGGTAGGGGTATGGCGGTGATTAGGACGCTGTGTTTATGGGGTATGGCGGTGATTAGGACGCTGTTATGGAGTATGGAGTGATTGGACGGTTATGATTAGGACGCTGTTATGGAGTATGGTGGTGATTAGGACGCTGTTATGGGGGTATGGTGGTGATTAGGACGCGGTTATGGTGTATGGCTATAAAATGGATATGCAAGTGAGCACTAACTGGAAATAGATATAAGTATTACAGTGGCTGCTGGCACTCAGGGTGTAGGCAACGATCCCAATGTAAACATGTATAAATAAAGTGCAGCACCCCGGTCAAATCAGGTACGACTTGCAATTTGCTGGAGAACTGGAGAAAGTACAGAGAAGGGCAACCAAACTGATAAGAGGCATGGAGGAGCTCAGCTATGAGGAAAGATTAGAGGAACTGAATTTATTCTCTGAGAAGAGGAGATTAAGGGGGGATATGATCAACATGTATAAATACATCAGTGGTTCATATAGTGAACTCGGTGTAGAGCTATTCACCCTGAGGTCATCACAGAGGACAAGGGGGCACTCTTTACGTCTGGAGGAAAAGAGATTTAAACTCCAAACAAGGAAAGGTTTCTTCACAGTGAGAGCTGTGAAAATGTGGAATAGACTCCCTCAAGAACTAGTTCTGGCCAGCTCAGTGGATTGCTTTAAAAAAGGCCTGGATTGTTTCTCAGATACACAGAATATAACTGCGTACTAACATTTATAGGTAAAGTTGATCCAGGGGGATCAGGAAGGAATTGTTTTCCCTGCAGGAGCAAATTGGATAATGCTTTGCTGGGTTTCTTTTGCCTTCCTCTGGATCAACTGTGGGTGTAGGATTATAGCTTTTTTTTTTTTAACCTCCCTGGTGGTATGATTATTTCAGATTTTTGGTGCTGAAAGCGGTACCATTACCATTATTTTGCATGGAAATTTGGCGTTTTATATTGTAGGCCTGTAATTCTTAGGAATAACTCACTGAAATTTGTGTCGAACAAGAGTCTAGTAAACATCCCGAGTAGGATAAAACTTGAAACACGAAATCATAAATTATAATTTAATAAATAATCATAAAAAATAATAATATAATAATAATAAATTTAATTCAATAATATAATCAAACCAAAAACAGTGTCTGATGACGAATTTTCCCCACGAATCATTATTACTCAATTCTGCAGGTAGTTCTAATTTACTATCGCTGTTCTCTAGCTGGTCTAAAACCGCTTTTGACCTAAAGGGACGCTTTTTGGACGCCATGGACATTTCTCAGTTTCCAGGTAGAAAGAACGGTAAAATGCAGGCAGGGCACAGGACAAAGCACTAGGGACAAAATGTATGTGAAATGGTTTGGTACAGTAATGTTTTTACTATATTATTTTAGTGATTTTTGTGAATGTCACTTTTTTGTCATTTTCAAATTTCCCCGCCGTTCCGTCCCCCGTACGTCCTGACATAGCAGAGGACAGAACCCAGATGACAGATGCCGGCATCCGCCGGATTTACATTGCCGGGACACTGCAGGAGGGACATCGCGGGAGCGCAGGACAAGGTAAGTGCAGAAGGGATCGCGGAGCAGCGCCGCATGGTAAGCCGAGTGTAGCTCTGGGTTACCGCTTGTGGTACTGAAATTTTACCCCAAGTTACACTCAGGAATACCGCTAGGGAGGCTACTGGTTGAACCGGACTGGACTTTTTGTCTTTTTCAGCCAGACTAACTATGTAACTATGTAACCCTATTGTCCGCAATTAGAGCAGTCAAATTGGTGCGGTTCCGACTGGGTTGGAGCCGCATCGATTTTTAAGTAGTACACGTACTTCTTTTGGTGCGATTTACATAGACATTTTGTGTCCGATGTCTTGCAAATCGCACCTGAAATCAGCATCTCACCTGACATTGAAATTGTGCGACTTCACTGTAAGTTGCAAGATTTCAAAGTCGGGTTTTTATGTGACTGGGGGGGGGGGGGTGAGTATTAATAATTTGATATGGCTAGATTAGCCTTTGTAGTAGAGGTATTCTGGTCTCCAGCTCACTTTCCAAAATAGTGAATAATTTTAATATGTGACAAAAAGTAAAAAATATATACTCCGCACTGTTAGAAAAATTTTTCTGGAAAAAAGTTTATTGAGGCTCTAGTGGGAAATGACATGAATACGGAAATAAAAAAAAAAAAAAAAAAAGGGGGGAAAGAGGAAAAATCCCTAAAAAAATGGGATCTTTTGAAGGATATATATAAAATCACTGTTTATTTCATATCAATATTCTCCACATATATTATAATGCTCATAACAATGTCCAAAAAAACTACTACGGTATTATGTAAAAGTTAAAAGGTTACAACATAATAGAGATTGTGTGATGGGCCTATATGTTGGCCAATCGGAATATTGATCTTAAGCGTATCATAAACATGGATGATCATGTATACGCTTGTGAAAGGGCCGCTTTGTTTTTTGCCCACATACAATGCACCACAGGTTTTGCCTATCACACAATTACCATGTAACAGCTATGCAATTCATGGCTCTGGATAGAGTTATGGAAGATCCTACGGAGGGGACTTTGATAGGGAAAGTGCTCCAACGGGAGACCTGGGTAGATATATCGGCTTAAAGCTACAGTACCACCTGGCCCCAATGATGTGATCAGTTTCACATCATTTTTGTAATAGTTTTATAGTGCATTCCATTCTAGGCAGTGTTTATGTACATGTATAGATGTAAAGATTCATATCTATCTTTACATATGTTCGTATGCCATGGTTCATTCATGGTTTTTTGCAGTGGGGCCCTGAAGGTTCTAGTTACACTCTTGGAAATAATTAGAGATGAGCGAATTTCTCAAAAATTCGATTCGGCTGATTCGGCGAATTCCAGTGTGAAATTCGATTCGATGCGAATTTCTTCGCTACGAAGATGACTTATAAAAAGGGTTTCTAGGCTTCAGAGAGCCTTTAAATTAGTGCAGAACACTGTACCTTTAATTTAAATGCCCTTGGAGATGAGGAAAGAGAAGGAGAAGGAGAAGGAGAAGGATGAGAAGAAGGAGAAGGATGAGAAGAATGGAGAAGGAGAAGGATGAGAAGAAGGAGAAGGAGAAAGGATGAGAGAAGGAGAAAGGAGAAGGATGAGAGAGAAGGAGAAGGATGAGAAGAAGGAAGAAGGATGAGAAGAAGGAGAAGGATGAGAAAGGAGAAGGATGAGAAGAAGGAGAAGGAGAAGGATGAAAGATGAGAAGGAGAAGATGAGAAGAAGGAGAAGGAGAAGGATGAGAAGAAGGAGAAGGAGAAGGATGAGAAGAAGGAGAAGGATGAGGAGAAGGAGAAGGGAGATGAGAAGAAGGAGAAGGATGAGAAGAAGGAGAAGGATGAGAAAGAAGGAGAAGGATGAGAAGAAGGAGAAGGAGAAGGATGAGAAGAAGGAGAAGGATGAGAAGAAGGAGAAGGATGAGAAGAAGGAGAAAGAAGGAGAAGGAAAAGCAGAAGGAGAAGGATGAGAAGAAGGAAAAGGAGAAGGATGAGAAGATGGAGAAGGAGAAGGATGAGAAGAAGGAGAAGGAGAAGGATGAGAAGAAGGAGAAGGATGAAAAGATGGAGAAGGAGAAGGATGAGAAGAAGGAGAAGGAGAAGGATGAGAAGAAGGAGAAGGAGAAGATGAGAAGAAGGAGAAGGAGAAGGATGAGAAGAAGAAGGAGAAGAGAAGGATGAGAAGAAGGGGAATGATATGAGAGAAGAAGGAGAAGGATGAGAAGAAGGAGAAGGAGAAGGATGAGAAGAAGGAGAAGGAGAAGGATGAGAGAAGGAGAAGGATGAGAAGAAGGAGAAGGATGAGAAGAAGGATGAGAAGAAGGATGAGAAGAAGGAGAAGGATGAGAAGAAGGACAGTTCTGTGACAGTTTCTGTCTATTTCTGACAGTCTGGGACATTCACTCCATACAGCTGTTTCAACCGCTGTAATGGAGGGAATGTCATGGAACTGTCAGAAATAGACTATTAATGACAGTTCTGGGACTGTCCTTCCATGCAGCGGTTGAAACATTGTATGTATTTGTTTCCATAAATGGATCCATTTATGGAAATCAAAATAGATACAATGTTTCAACCGCTGTATGGGAAGGACAGTCCCCCCAGAACTGTCATTTAATAGTCTATTTCTGACAGTTCTATGACATTCCCTCCATACAGCGGTTGAAACAGCTGTATGGAGTGAATGTCCCAGAACTGTCATGACAGAAATAGACTATTTATGACAGTTCTGGGACTGTCCTTCCATACAGCGGTTGAAACATTGTATCTATTTTTTTCCATAAATGACATTCTGCAAATACACTAGAGGAGCGCTGCAGATACACTTTTTGCCGGCTTGGAATTTAATCTTATTTTCATCCTACGTTCTTCTTCTTCATCCTCATCCTCATAAGAAGAAAAAGAAGAAGTAGGATGAAAATAAGAATAATTCCAAGCCGTCAAAAGTGTATCTGCAGCGCTCCTCTAAGTGTATCTGCAGAATGTCATTTATGGAAAAAAATAGATACAATGTTTCAACCGCTGTATGGAGTGAATGCCCCAGAACTGTCATAAATAGTCTATTTCTGACAGTTCTGGGACATTCACTCCATACAGCTGTTTTACCCCAACCGCTGTATGGAGGGAATGTCATAGAACTGTCAGAAATAGACTATTAATGACAGTTCTGGGACTGTCCTTTCCCCATACAGCGGTTGAAACATTGTATCTATTTGTTTCCATAAATGGATCCATTTATGGAAACAAATAGATACAATGTTTCAACCGCTCTAGGAAGGACAGTCCCAGAACTGTCATTAATAGTCTATTTCTGACAGTTTCTATGACTTTTCCCTCCATACAGCGGTTTTTTGAAACAGCTGTATGGAGTGAATGTCCCAGAACTGTCAGAAATAGACTATTTCTGACAGTTCTGGGACTGTCCTCCCATACAGCGGTTTGAAACATTGTAAATGTATTTGTTTCCATAAATGGATCCATTTATGGACAACAAATACATACAATTGTTTCAACCGCTGTATGGAAGGACAGTCCCAGAACTGTCATTAATAGTCTATTTTGGTTGACAGTTTCCATGACATTCCTCCATACAGCGGTTTGAAACAGCTGTATGGAGTGATTGTCCCAGAACTGTCAGAAATAGTCTATTTCTGACAGTTCATGGGACATTCACTCCATACAGCTGTTTCAAACCGCTGTATGGAGGGAATGTCATGGAACTGTCAGAAATAGACTATTATTGACAGTTCTGGGACTGTCCTTCCATACAGCGGTTGAAACATTGTATGTATTTGTTTCCATAAAATGGATCCATTTATGGAAACAAATACATACAATGGTTTCAACCGCTGTATGGAAGGACAGTCCCAGAACTGTCATTATACTAGTCTATTTCTGACAGTTCTATGACATTCCCTCCATACAGCGGTTTGAAACAGCTGTATGGAGTGAATGTCCCAGAACTGTCGGAATAGACTATTTATGACAGTTCTGGGACTGTCCTTCCATACAGCGGTTGAAACATTGTATCTATTTTTTTTCCATAAATGACATTCTGCAAATACACTTAGAGGAGCGCTGCAGATACACTTTTTGCCGCTTGGAATTAATCTTATTTTCATCCTACTTCTTTCTTCTTCTTCATCCCTCATCCTCATAAGAAGAAAAAGAAGAAGTAGGATGAAAATAAGAATAATTCCAAGCCGGCAAAAAGTGTATCTGCAGCGCTCCTCTAAGTGTATCTGCAGAATGTCATTTATGGAAAAAAATAGATACAAATGTTTCAAACCGCTGTATGGAGTGAATGTTCCCAGAACTGTCATAAATAGTCTATTTCTGACAGTTCTGGGACATTCACTCCATACAGCTGTTTCAAAAACCGCTGTATGGAGGGAATGTCATAGAACTGTCAGAAATAGACTATTTATGACAGTTCTGGGACTGTCCTTCCATACAGCGGTTGAAACATTGTATGTATTTGTTTCCATAAATGGATCCATTTATGGAAACAAATACATACAATGTTTCAACCGCTGTATGGAAGGACAGTCCCAGAACTGTCATTAATAGTCTATTTCTGACAGTTCCATGACATTCCCTCCATACAGCGGTTTCCGGCAAAAAGTGTATGTGCAGAGTTCCTCTATTCTGCAGATACACTTAGAGGAGCTCTGCAGATACACTAGAGGAGCTCTGCACATACACTTTTTGCCGGCTTGGAATTATTCTTATTTTCATCCTACTTCTTCTTCTTCTTCTTCTTCTCGTCTCATCCTTTTTCCTTAAATCCTCATCCTCATCTCTTCTTCTTCCTTCTGAGGATGAGGATGAGGATGAAGAAGAAGAAGACGAAGTAGGATGAAAATAAGATTAATTCCAAGCCGGCAAAAAGTGTATGTGCAGAGCTCCTCTAAGTGTATCTCAGAATAGAGGAACTCTGCACATACACTTTTTGCCGGCTTGCAATTATTCTTATTTTCATCCTACTTCTTCTTCTTCTTCATCCTCTTCTTCTTCTTCTGAGGATGAGGATAAAGAAGAATGAAGAAGAAGAAGAAGTAGGATGAAAATAAGATTAATTCCAAACAGGCAAAAAGTGTATGTGCAGAGCTCCTCTAAGTGTATCTGCAGAATAGAGGAACTCTGCACATACACTTTTTGCCGGCTTGGAATTATTCTTATTTTCATCCTACTGCTTCTTCTTCTTCTTCATCCTCATCCTCATCCTCAGAAGAAGAGGATGAGGATGAGGATGAAGAAGAAGAAGAAGAAGTAGGATGAAAAGAAGAATAATTCCAAGCCGGCAAAAAGTGTATGTGCAGAGTTCCTCTATTTCTGACAGTTCTCTCACAGCTTCTTCACATGTACAGCGGTTGAAACATCTGTATCCTAAATGGAAACTAATAGATACAAATTAGTTTACTAATTGTATCTATTAGTTTCCATTTAGGATACAGATGTTTCAACCGCTGTACATGTGAAGAAGCTGTGAGAGAACTGTCAGAAATAGAGGAACTCTGCACATACACTTTTTGCCGGCTTGGAATTATTCTTCTTTTCATCCTACTTCTTCTTCTTCTTCTTCATCCTCATCCTCATCCTCTTCTTCTGAGGATGAAGATGAAGAAGAAGAAGAAGTAGGATGAAAAGAAGAATAATTCCAAGCCGGCAAAAAGTGTATGTGCAGAGTTCCTCTATTTCTGACAGTTCTCTCACAGCTTCTTCACATGAACAGTGGTTCAAACATCTGTATCCTAAATGTAAACTAATAGATACAATGTTTCAATCCGCTAAACATGAGTTCCTTCTGTCAGAGAACTGTCAGAAATAGCGGAGCTCACTGCAGGGACACTTTTTGCCGGCTGATCGGGAAATGTTCGATTCGCGCACCCGAAGTAGGCAAAATTTCGGTTTCGCCGCGAATCGAATATTTCCTGAAAATTCGACTCGAATTCCGGTTCGCCTGGTTCGATTCGCTCATCTCTAGAAATAATGTTGTTACATAGTTACATAGTCTGGCTAAAAAAAGATCAACCATAAAAAAAAAAAGTTATAATCCTATAACCCACAGTCGATCCAGATGAAGGCAAAAAAAAACCCAGCAAAGCATGAACCAATTTGCTCCTGCAGGGAAAAAAATAAAACAAATTCCTTCCTGCTGTGGAACTGGAAAGAGTGCAGAGAAGGCCCAATAAACTAGGGACATGGAGGACTTCAGCTATGAGTAGAGATTAACGAAACCAATTTTTCTCCCTTAAAAAGAGGTGTTTAAATCAGTATATGATCATTGTGTATTTTATTTAGTAAACTTGGTCCAACATTGTTCACTTTTAGGCCACTGCAAATGACAAGGGGCACTGTTTGCATCTAGATGAAAGAGATGTAATCTCTGCATTCAGAAAGGCTTTTTTTTATATCAAGAGCTGGCACAATGTGGAATACAAAAGGGATAACAGGCGCAAGGTGTAGTAGTCCATGTATGTTTGATGAGTTCCAAATGGGCAGGGGTGAAGGTAGCCCAGTAGGCACTAAGGGCAAGCTGCGTAGGAGCGAAGCATAACTCTGCAGGAGGGAAACAAAGAAACACAGCGCCTCTAAGTATTTAAATACCTTCACAGTACACACTTAGAAGCGTTGTGTTTCTTTGTTTCCCAAAATGTGGAATAGCCTGGCATTCCACAGAAACTAGTTCTATGCAGCTAAGCAGATTTTTTTTTCTAAAGAAGCTGAATGTATTCTAAACACAAAATATAACTGGATAACATTTAAAAGCAATAACATGATAGATTGTTGATACAAGGAATATCAAATTGCATTAGGGGATCAGAAAGGCATTTTTTCCTACTGGAGCAAAACGTATTATGGGGTTTTTTGCCTCCATGTGGGTCAACTGTGGGCTTAGGGTCCAGGGATGCAGGTACTTTGATATGTATTTTCATTTTTCTATTGGTTAAAGTTAATGGACACCCATCTCTTTTCAACTTACTGTAACTATGTAACTAGTAGGTTTAGAGGTAGTGTACCTACATATGATGTGGAAGGAGATACAGCCAACATTGTAACTCCCCACATCTTAAAAGGGAACATTCTGGAAATGTCCAGCTGGTGCTTGGGAGGTTTGGCTTTACGAGAACCCTAACATCTTACACTTGTCTATTCATGGGATGAAGGAGAATCCAAAACTTCTCACACAAATCAAACCAACATGTCATTCATTACCCAGAATTCCAATCTCCAGATCTTCCAGTTCTTCCTTAATTTTCTGGTAAATATGTGATCCATTCGTAAAATCCACTTGTATTACCCGAGTCTTGCGCCCAAATTCTTTTTCTTTTTTTTAAACACAGAAAAATAGCACATGAATCATGAAATGTGTATAATCATTAACATGGTTGTAAAGCTCGTGACATGAAATATGAACAAAATATCCTTCTCTAGTGTGTACTTGTCAAAATCCAGAGCACTAAATGTCATTTCTCTCTGTTGTTACGTGCATGAGTCACTTCTCACAAGTTTTCCTGACACCAAGTGAAAAATGGTGATGAGGAGGGATGTCCAGCAGATTGACAGCCTCAGCTTTGTTCCTGTGTTCTGTGTGTCTCTTCCCTCCAATCATATCTTACTGAGCTCTGCAGTGTGTAACTTCAGCTCTCTGCCCCCTGCTTTCTGAACGTTCAGCCCAGCTGTATAAATTGTGCACTTTTAATGGCTGCAGAGGGGGAGAAATCTGCAGATAAACAGGTACAACATATGTAGGATGATTTGTTTCATCTCAGTGTATCACCTGAGGCTAGTCACTTCACTGGGAATATGTATGGGTTTACAACCACTTTAACATAAATATTTGAAATAGGAGAAATAAAGGAGGAAACATAATGGTTTGGGGTCAATTTTACATTTATACCTAAAGACTAGATTGGTAAAAAGATATAGGAGAAAATAAAGGAGGAAAACATAAATGGTTTGGGGTCAAATATTATATGTATATAAAATAGCTTTATATTTAATCATACAATAAAGGTGCACTGTAGACACAGGTTCTTTTTAAATGGAAGGCACAGCATTAGTTTTTCTCTTTAGGACTGTACTGTATTTGTCCTATAAATAGAGCAGGCAGGGAAAGGGAGGAAGGGGGCACATGCCACTCCTCTGAATAATTTGTATGTTAAAGCCAAAACTAAAAATGTAATATATTGCAGCATACCAATCCTTAGATGTTGTGTCTGCTTTAGTTTTCTTTTTTATGTTTTTCCTCTCTGTTTTCACCTGGCGATCTGGACAGTAATACACCTCCTGTATTAGTGTGCTGCAACTCTGGATGAACGAGCACAGGGAGCACCTTTGGACAGCAGCATTGTCAGTTTGGAGGGAGAGGAGTGTCAGATGTACTAAATAAATGATTTAAATACACTAACAGATTGAAGCCAAGCTCCAGCTACTACTTTATTCATTCATTTTTTCCCTTTTGGAATAAAGGTTTTACATAAATACTGTAACTAAAAGAAGATCAGTGTAAGCTCCCAGGTCAGTGGTAAATGGTTTATCTCAACCCTCTACATCTGCATGAGAGCTTGTTCTGTTGAAAAACAGCAGACTTACCGGCTGGACAGATGAAAAAATTGGCAAGAAATCCTAAAAAAAATAATTATCTAAAAATATCTAAGAATTGGTAAGCTGCATTATAATATATATTTGCTTTTGGGTTTAATACCACTTTAATTTTAAATTTAGTTATTGAGCTCTATAAACAGAAAACATTTTAATAATGAGGTTAAGGAGTATCTAAACCCAAAACCAAAAATGTGTTATATTGCAGTTTACCATTGTTTAGATAAGATTGCTGCATTTGTTTTTTTAAGTCAACCACTTAATTTCACTTGGCAATGTTGCAAGTCATTTTCTGTCTCCTTGAAGTTTATTTACTAAAGCTAAACCAATCAGATTCTAACTTCAGCTTGTTCAATTAGACATTGGCAATAAAACCTGAAAGCTGGCTGGTTGCTATGCAGAAGTAAGCCTGATTTTGCACTCTCCAACTTTAGTCAATAAACCCCTTTGCGTCTACATTCGTTTCTTCATGGTATCAATAGGAGCAGCCATGGCTGTCACCAAAGCTGGACTTCAAACATGTCACAGGAAGCAACAAGCAAGGCCAATAGTTATTTTTTTGTTCTTGTTAAACATGTTTTTTAAAAATAGATACTACATCTAAGGATTGGCAAACTACAATAAAATATTTTTTTGCTTTTTCGATTTGGATATACCTCAAATTTATCTAGTAAAAATGTGAAAATTGAGATTTCCTCTGACTTCTTGCTATGTCTTTGGGAGAGGAAGAGAAGAGTAGGACACAGACTAAAAAGAAAAAAAATACTGATCAAGTTTTAATAATTCCTGACTGTATAAAAATATAAATAAATCAATAAATAATAATAATATAAAATAAATAATATTATATATATATATATATATATATATATATATATATATTTGTGTTCAAAATAATAGCAGTCAGACATCACTAACCTGGTCAATCACTGTTTTTGGTAGAAATGATATTTCTACATGGCAAATAATTTACTAGCAGGTGTAGTAGAGTAATAGAAATCCAACAGACCCAACAGTCATGACATGCATGCTGCTGATTCTGTGTAATTGAATCACTAATTGAAAGGGGCATGTTCAAAATAATAGCAGTGTGGAGTTCTATTAGTGAGGTCATTCATTCTTTTAAAAACAGGTGGCAATTATTGCCCTTATTTAAGGAAGGAAAGCAGCAAATGTTGTAAATGCTGGTTACAGTGCATTTCTCTGAAATTCTGAGGAAAATGGGTCGTTCCAGACATTGTTCAGAAGAACAGTGTACCTTGATTAAAAAGTTGATTGGAGAGGGGACAACATATAAAGAAGTGCAGAAAATGATAGGCTGCTCAGCTAAAATTCTCGCAAATGCTTTAAAATGGCAACCAAAACCTGAAAGACATGGAAAAAAGTGAAAAAACTACCATTCAAATGAAGAAGAATAGCCAAAATGGCAAGGACTCAGCCAACAATCAGCTCCAGGAAGATGAAAGAGGGTCTAAAGTTACCTGTGAGTACTGTTACAATTAGAAGACGCCTATGTGAAGCCAAGCTATCTGCAAGAAGCCCTCGCAAAGTCCCACTGTTGAAAAAAAGACATGCTGAAGAGGTTACAATGTGCCAAAGAGCACATTGACTGGCCTAAAGAGAAATGGCGCAACATTTTGTGGACTGATGAAAGTAAGATTGTTCTTTTTGGGTCTAGTGGCCGGAGACAGTTTGTCAGACGACCCCCAAACACTGAAATCAAGCCACAGTACACTGTGAAGACAGTGAAGCATGGTTGTGCAAGCATCATGATATGGGGATGTTTCTCATACTACGGTGTTGGGCCTATTTATCGCATACCAGGGATCATGGATCAGTTTGAATACATCAGAATACTTGAAGAGGTCATGCTGCCTTATGCTGAAGAGGAAATGCCCTTGAAATGGGTGTTCCAACAAGACAACGACCCCAAACACACCAGTAAATGTGCAACATCTTGGTTCCAGACCAACAAGATTGACGTTATGGAGTGGCCAGCCCAATCCCCGGATCTTAATCCAATAGTAAACTTGTGGGGTGACATCAAAAATGCAGTTTCTGAGGCAAAACCAAGAAATAGAGAAGAACTGCGGAATGTAGTCCAATCATCCTGGGCAGGAATACCTGTTCACAGGTGCCAGAAGTTGGTTGACTCCATGCAACACAGATGTACAGCAGTTCTCAGAAACAGTGCTTATACAACTAAATATTAATTAAGTGATTCAAAGGAAAGCAAAATCTTCAAACATTTTTCAGTTTATATAGTGAATGTTTGAGTTTGTAAAGAAGAATACAAACACTGCTATTTTTTTGAACAGTCTAATATTCACTTTTCTTCATTTTATTTAGAGGAACAACACAAATTTGATATAATTTCTTCATGTTTTGATTTGGAATAGAATGTGTAGTGTTCCCAATGCATTTGTGTGTATGGAAATAAAAGCTATTAGAAGGATTTTGAGCTTTATTCACTTTTTTCAACACGCTGCTATTATTTTGAACACAACTGTATATATATATATATATATATATATATATATATATATTTACTCTAAAATGATATGTGCACTTTTTTTTTTTCAAATGAGAAATGCTCACTCTACATAAGTCTCTATGTAAACATAGTGAATATAACAGAATATTTCTGATCTGCAGAAATGTGAACATTGGCCAGGTCATGCGCAATGTTTACTCACCTGCTTTTGCATTGCTTTACCTTGTAGCCTGGATCATATGCTTATCTGAGAACAGGAACTGGCATAGATAGAAGCAGTTCCTGTCTTCAGTAGGTACCGTGTTTCCCCCAAAAAAAGACACTGTCGTATATTTTTTTTGGCTAAAAAAAACACACTATTTTCAGGGTAGGTCTTATTTTTTTAATGTACAGGTGTAGACAGGGGGTGCAGAGGTGAGCTGCAGGCAGTTGTGGATGACGGTTACTATAGAGAGGGCCGGCTGATGACAGTTGTGAGCTGCAGTCAGGTGTTGCAGAGGTGAATTGATAGGTGAGTTTCAGACAGGGTGCAGAGATGAGCCACAGAGTGCAGGGGTGAGTTACGGACAGGGGATGCAGAGATAAGCTGTGGCCGGAGGGTGCAGAGGCAAGCTGTGGCCAGGGGGGTGCAGAGGCAATCTGTGGCAAGGGGGTGCAGAGGCAATCTGTGGCCAGGGGGTGCAGAGCTGAGCTGTGGCCAGGGGGTGCAAGCTGAGCTATGGCAAGGGGAGTGCAGAGCTGAGCTGTGGCCAGGGGGTGCAGAGGCAAGCTGTGGCCAGGGGGGTGCAGAGGCAAGCTGTGGCCAGGGGGTGCAGAGGCAAGCTGTGGCCAGGGGGGTGCAGAGGCAATCTGTGGCCAGGGGGGTGCAGAGCTGAGCTGTGGCCAGGGGGTGCAAGCTGAGTTATGGCAAGGGGGGTGCAGAGCTGAGCTGTGGCCAGGGGGTGCAGAGGGCTGTGGCCAGGGATGCAGAGCTGAGCTGTGGCCAGGGGATGCAGAGCTGAGCTGTGGCCAGGGTGTGCAGAGCTGAGCTGTGGCCAGGTAGTGCAGAGCTGAGCTGTGCAGAGGTGGGTTGCAACTTAGCTCATCTCTGCACCCCCCCCCCCCCCAGCCGCAGCTCACCTATGCAGCCTGTCTGCAACTCACCTCTCAATTTACCTCTGTAACTCCTGACTGCAGCTCACCTGTGCAGATCCCCCCTCCCCCTCTCCACTGCCGTCATATAGTTAGCTAGTTGTCAGCAGCCGGCCCCTCTCTATAGTAACTCCCGTTTTGGATCCTATCTTCTCACACAGTGCACCAAGCGCACTTACTCACCGCTCCGCCTCTTCCCCACTGGCTGGTGATCACCCCTGGGGCATCGGCTTCCATGCATTAGGCTGCAGGACGAGATGCCCCGCTTCGCCCCTAAACGAACTGCACACTGCGCCCACAGATATCTTTTCCTTCCCTGTCCCACAGTGAGTACAGAGGTAGGGAGGTTCTGTGGGAGCAGATGGTGCTGTCACTTACAAGAGCGACTGTCAATTGCAAACACAAAAGCCAAACTTCTGTGTTTAAAAGAGACAATAGATATTGTTGTGCACAGGGCCCGTGCCAGAGGTGGCGGAACGTTGTTCCGTCACGTCCTAGCTGAAAAAGCCCTGATAACAACTAGGTCTTATTTTCGGGGTAGGTCTTATACTTTAGCAATTCCCAAAATTAGTACTAGGTCTTATACAGGATTTATATAGTGCCAACAGTTTGCTCAGTGCTTTACAATATAACAGGAGACAATACAGCAACAATACAGTTCAATACAAGAGGGATAGGAGGGCCCTGCTCCTTGGAGCTTACTGGTGTCATGATGTTGGCTTTGCCATATGACATTGGTCCTGAAAAAATGAGGGAACCATAAAATGAAACGTCAATCAGCCACAGCTCAAGGAACCCCTAGCAACCTCTGGAGGAACCCTATGGCTCCAAAGTACCCTGGGGCTCCATGGTACCCTGGTTGAGAATGGCTTATCTCAAATAATACACTTAGCTTAATTGTATGATATGATATTGTCTTTGGCTATCTCAAGAAGCATGTCTTCTACCATGATGCAATTTATGTTGAAGTTGTATTTTTTTCTCCTCATCTTGGATGGCCTCATCCTATCTGCTTTTCACAGTGTCGTGTTTCATGACAGGTATTGCGGTTTTGGCAAAGAGGAGGTAGGAGGCTGCCAAAACACCAGTTGAGGTGGACAAGATGATAAGGGGATATACTGGTGAAACAGTTCAAATAAATATGTGAGACAGCTGAATTCAGTGGTTTGCAGGCATATGCTTCTCTGAATCTTAGTTAATCTTTTATTGCTGAACATCTAATTCACAAATGAGGCAGAATCTACCCTAAATTGCAATGTATTTTGTTAAAAGTGTGTGTGTAAACAATTATAACTTAATACAGAAAATCCAGGTGAGACAAAACCATTTCCTCCCAATTCACTTAGACATTATACCTATTTCTGCAGCCACCTTCTTAAGCTTCTCCAAGGTACGGCTTATTAGCACGACATCCAGTCCTCTTTTTGCAAGCTAGGAAATAAGTCAGCCATGTTACATACTTATAGAATAATATACAAACCACATTTACATCTGCAAAATACTTTGCCAAACATTAACACAAGAACATAACAGTTGGTCATGATCGTGAAAATACAAGCAAAACTCAGCAATGCTGGTTAGAATTCTGAACCTGCTGTTTGAAGTATTGGTATAATATTTTAAAGAGAGTAGAGGGAATTCATATTTGTAGATATTATTTAGAATTTCTTTGGCTGCTGCATCAAAATCGTAGGTGCTTGTGGACGATTCATGCACCTCATGTCTGACGAAGAGGCCCTGCTCGGCTCAGAAATGTTGCACCTTTCTTTTTGTGATGTGATCATTCTTCAATGAAAAAGCTTTTCGGACGACATTGATGATCCATGGCTTGTTGGCAAATATGAATAGTGATTCACGCACCTGTCTCAGAAAAGTATATGAATCTGTCTAGGCATTGATGTCTGAGTGTCCTTACTGGACTCTCCTTCCTCAGTGCACTCCCTCCCTCTTCAGCCACTGTTCCTGTCACCCATACAGATGCATGGCAGAGGAGTGGGCAGATCCTGATGGAGAACTGAAAGACTAGTTCCTCATCAGGTCTGCCTGTCTTTTGAATGACAGTACATGGCACTGGGCAGATCTATAGCCACTATAAAGTCAATAGCAGCTTTCAAATCCCATTGATTTTCGATGTAAATCAAAAATTAAGCAGACCTGATAAGGAACTAGTCTCTCTGTTCCCCCTGAGGCTCCCCCCACCAAGTGACACAAGTCATTTCCTAGATATGGGCATTGCCATATTTGGTTAATGACTTCACCAATATCCTTGACCCCTTAGTTCACAATTAGACTTGCGATGGAGAAACTCCTGTCCAACAGTTTTGTTTCGTTTTTGGATGCATTTGTTAACTGAAGAATTTGTTCCGGATGCATTCATTAATGGGCCCTCTTCATTTTTGGAATTAATTTTGTATCTTTGGTATTCCGTTTGTTTCATTCAGTTGTTAAGGAGCCAGCGGCCACTGCGTCCTTAACAACCATGACTCATCTGCTGTCAGTGGGATTCCCTCCTGTCAGCAGAATGTAAACAAAAGAAGTGCTGGTTCCATTTTTTTTTTTTAAATAAACAGCGTGCTCTGCCCCCCAATCCATACCTGGCCCTTCGAGTCTGTTTTGGATTTTGAGGGGAACAACATGCCAAAATTAAAAAAAAAAAAAAAGAAAAAATGGAGCGGGGTCCCCCCCAAAATCTGTACCAGAACCTTATCTGAGCATGCAGCCCGGCAGGCCAGGAAAAAAGTTGCTCTTCCCCTCAACCCTGGGCAGTGGTTGTGGGGGTCTGCGGGCTGGAGGCTTATCAAAATTTGAAAGCCCCCTTTAATAAGGGGGTCCCCCAGATCCTTCCAATGTGAATGAGTATGGGGCACATAGTACCCCTACTCATTCAAGAAAAGAACTATCAAACAAAAGTAGAAAAAAACAACAGAGACAGTTTTTAACAAGTATTTTATTAAAACTCCCCCCTCCCAAAAAATAAATGTCCTCTGAAGTAGATCCAACGTCAATCACAATGAACGCCGACCCACGTGTTTGGCGGGCAGTTTTTTTTTATTTTTGTGCGAGTTGGCTTCTCAATAAATCCGAATGCATCCGAATGAACCCAAAAATTTTGTTATAAATTTTTTTTCAGATTCATTCAGATTTGTTATGATGTCCATTTGGAAATTCAGATATAACCGAATCTCCGAAAATGAAATTTTTGTTTGAAAAATTAATCTGAACAAACTAAATCGCACATGTCTAGTGGACAGAGTCCTGTGTGGGAAGCTGTGATATTCATGCACGGATTTACAGCACTGGCATGACCTGCTCTGAGAACTGGTGTACCTCTATATGCCAGCTCAGAGTTGGTCTTAATTACTGCCAGCTACCTAATCTGCGAACTGGCAGTAATTCTTTATGTATATGTAGTGGTAGTTAGAACTACCTGAATTGGTTGCCCATGTTGGTAAGGTTACCAAAACTGATGCAAATGCTTGCCAGAATTAGGCACAGGTACTTCTAAGAGGAACTGCCACCAAAGTGCCATTAAGGCTTTAGTACATTTCCTTCAACATGTTTTACCAGCAAAAAATGTTTATTTGGTATTTTGGTTATGGAAAGGAAATCAGGTGTGTGCGTTTCATGTATGCTTGATATCCACTTGCCGACAAGCCGCAGTACATATACAGAAGCTGTTCGGAAAATGCAGGCAAAATCACGTACAGATTCGTGATTTTGCTTGCTCTAGTTCAGAGGTGCAACCCAAAATCCCCCCTCGCATGAACACTGTGGTCCACCAGACACAGCAGATTGCAGACCCCTATACTTGGGCCCAATGATCATGTGATCACAGTGTCAACAAAGCTGTTATGAATGAATTCATTCATAAACAGCTGTTTCATAGGCTCTGAATGGCCCACAGCTGTCACATGGAGCCTGGGCCAATCACAGCACCCTGTACCATGTGATTAAATGTAGCCAATCACAGATCACTAGTGATCACAGCTGCCATGAATGCAACCCATTCACGGCAGTTGAAAACTGATTTTCATTGTAACAGCAAACAAAGTAGTTCATAAAATATATATTCCTGATCACCCCATCAGAGTAGTACAGTGTGGTGACACTGAACTACTCTGATGAAAGTATGTAAAAAAGAAAATAGTAAAAAAAAGAAAACAAAAAAAATTTAAAACACAAAAAGTTTTTAAAAAATTTAATTAAAAATAAGTTTTTTTTTTTTTTATTTTTTTACATACTGTCACCAATCAGTATCCCTGCTCTCACCGCCACACCAGTTGTATGGTTTACTGCACTGGTGACAGTACGTAATAAAAAAACAATTGTGAAAAAATACAAATTTCGTCCAATTTCTTTATTTAACCACTTGCCCTCATGAGGATTTACCCCCCTTAATGACCAGGCCTCTTTTTGCTACTTGGCGCTGCTCTAATTCAACTGATAATTGCGCGGTCATGCAATTCTGCTTCCAAACGAAATTTATGTCCTTTTTTTCACAAAAATAGAGCTTTCTTTCGGTGGTATTTGATCACCTGTGCGCTTTCTTTTTTTCACGCTATAAACAAAAAAAGACCAAACATTTTGAAGAAAAACAATATTTTCTACTTTCAGCAATAAAAAATATATAGTAAACTCAAAGTTGGTTATAAATTTAGACCAAAATGTATTCTGCTACATGTTTTTGGTAAAAAAAATCCCAATAAGTGTATATTCATTGGTTTGTGTGAAAGTTATAGCGTCTACAAACTATGGTATAGATACTGCAATTTACGCCATTTTTTTGCTATACAGCGCTGCGCTAGTTTAATGGACAATTGCGCGGTCATGCAATACAATACATAAATGAAATTTACATCCTTTTTTTCCCCACAAATTGAGCTTTCTTTTGGTGGTATTTGATCGCCTGTGCGGTTTTTATTTTTTGCGCTATAAGAAAAAAAGTCTGACAATTTTGAGTAAAAAAAGCTATATTTTGGACTTTTTGCTATAAAACATGTCCAGTAAAAAAAAAATTTAAAAATCAAATTTAGTCATAAATTTCTGCCAAAATGCATTCTGCGACATGTCTTTGCTACAAAAAACCCCAATACGTGTAAATTAATTGGTCTACGTGAAAGTTATAGCGTTTACAAATGGCGGGAAAGATACTGGGATTTTAATTTTTTTTTTACTAATAATGGCGGCGATCAGTGACTTATGGCGGCGATCAGCGACTTATGGCTGGACTGCGGCGGACATTCTGACACTGGGGGGGGAACTGACTTGGGGTCGCTGACATCCCCAGTGACACCAATACAGTGATCAGTGCAAAAAAAAAAAACACTGACACTGTACTAATGGCAGTGGGGAGGAAGGGGTTAACTTTATTATTCAGTGAAAGGGTTAACTGTGTGAGGGGGAGTGTTTTACTAGGGGACGGGGGTGTGTACTGCAGGGAACACCGCTGATTGGGACAGATAAACTCTTCTGTCCCAATCAGTGTGTCAGGAGCTGTCAGGGAACTGACAGAAAGCACAGCTACTGCAGCTGTGCTCTCTGTCACTGATTGCCGCTAATCGCCAGCACGTAGCCGGTAACGACCGGCTATGACCTGGCAACTGACATCCGTGGCCATGGTCAGTGGGACAGGTAGGGCGGCAGTGTGCCTCGCGCGTGCCCCCTACCTGTTTTAAAAACACATGTTTTAAAACGTGGTTTTGCCCAGCTGTGCCGCCCTGCCGCCGTATTTCTACAGTGACTGGGCGGCATGTGGTTAAAAAATAATTACAACTTCAAAAGACTTGCCATGCCTCTTGCTACATGCCTCAGACTGTCTACTTTCCAAAAAGGGGTAATTTTAAGGGCCTAAAGAAATGATACAGGCCGTCAGTACATCAAGAATGATCAGTTTTCAAAATATATATACCATAGTATGTAGACGCTATAACTTTCACGCAAACCAATTAATATACACTTATTGCGATTTTTTTTTTTTTTACAAAAGACATGTAGCAGAATACCTTTTGGGCTAAATTAATGACGAAAATTGATTTTATTGGATATGTTTTACAACAGAAAGTCGAAAATACTGTTTTTTTTTACAAAATTTTATGTTCTTTTTTGTTTATATTGCAAAAAATTTAAAAACAGTGGTGATAAAACACTATCAAAAGAAAGCTCTATTTGTGTGAAAAAAATAAAAGCTTTGTGTGAAAAAAAAATGATTAAAAAATGAATTTGCGTACAGTGTTGCATGATCGCGCATTTGCCAGTTAAAGTAGCTCAGTGCTGAATAGCAAAAATTGCCCTAGTCATGAAGGGGGGTAAAATCATCTGGAGCACAAGTGAATATTATAATTTAGTTGAATTCTTGTATGTTGTTATATTGTTTTGTTCTTTGATTGTCCTTCTTCTGTTTTACTTTTCATAAAAGGAAAACTAACAAAAACACCTAAAAATAAGAGCTCTTCCACATTGGCATATATTAGAGCGTATCTGAGTAAAATATGCTGTACTCACTTAAATACGTTCAAACCTCCTGTATTTGCTTTTACAGTGAAGGAAATAAGTATTTGATCCCTTGCTGATTTTGAATGTTTGCCCACTCCCAAAGAAATGATCAGTCTAAAAATCGAATGGTAGGTGTGTTGTAACACTGAGAGACAGAGTAGCAACACAAAATTCAAAAGAAATGCATGTCTAAACAAATTATGCACTGATTTGCATGTTCATGAGAGAAATAAGTATTTGATCCCCTTCACAAAGCATGACTTAGTACTTGGTGACAAATCCCTTGTTGGCAATCACAGAGGTCAGACATTTCCTGTAGTTGGCCACCAGGTTTGCACACATCTCAGGAGGGATTTTGGCCCACTCCTCTTGACAGATCCTCTCCAAGTCATTTGGGATTGGTGGCTAACGTTTGGCAACTTGAACTTTCAGCTCCCTCCACAGATTTTTAATCAGATTAAGGTCTGGAGACTGGCTAGGCCACTCCAGGACCTTAATGTGCTTCTTCTTGAGCCACTCCATTATTGCTTTGGCTGTGTGTTTTGGGTCATTGTTATGCTGGAACACCCATCCACGAACCCATTTTCAATGCCCTGGCTGAGGGAAGAAGGTTCTCACCAAAACTTTGATGGTATATTGCCCTGTCCATAGTCCCTTTGATGCGGTGCAGTTGTCCTGTCCCCTTAGCAGAAAAACACCCCCAAAGCAGAATGTTTCCACCACCATGTTTGACAGTTGGGATGGTGTTCTTGGGGTCATAGGCAGAATTCCTCCTCCTCCAAACACGTCGAGTTGAGTTGATGCCAAAGAGCTCGATTTTGGTTTCATCTGACCACAACACTTTCAACCAGTCCTCTTCTGCATCATTCAGATGTTCAGTGGCAAACTTCAGATGAGCCTGGACATGGGCTTTCTTGAGCAGAGGGACCTTGCGGGCACTGCAGGATTTCAATCCTTGTCAGCGTAGTGTGTTGTCAATTGTTTTCTTGGTGACTGTGGTCTCAGCTGCCTGGAGATCATTGAAAAGATCCTCACTTGTAGTCCTGGGATGATACCTCAGTGTTCTCATGATCATTGACACTCCACGAGGTGAGATCTTGCAAGGTACACCAGACCTAGGGAGACTGACAGTTGTTTTGTGTTTCTTCCATTTGCGAATGATTGCACCAACTGTTGTCACCTTCTCACCAAGCTGCTTGGCGATAGTTTTGTAGCCCAGTCCAGCCTTGTGTAGGTCTACAATCTTGTCTCTGACATCCTTTGTTGGTATTCTGTCTCTCAGTGTTACAATACACCTACCATTCGATTTTTAGACAGATCATTTCTTTTTGAATGGGCAAACATTCAAAATCAGCAGGGATCAAATGCTTATTTCCTTCACTGTATATGCAAGAGCATAAGGCCATTTTTTCTATGAAGGCACATTTTTGAGTTTGGAAAAGTACATCCATACATGTGAGTATGTAAACACAAGTACATCATCACCCCTCCTTGTACAATCAGAGAACACCTTGTATTCACAGAAAAAATAGAAAGGTGTTCCATGAAAGGACATGGTGCAGAGAAAGTGGCCCCCCTTGGCCAGTGGCCAGTGGCCAGTATGGCAACTGCTTGCATACAGCCTGATCAGACCAGTAGATTGCAGCTATCAATGTAGTAGGGCCAAATACTACAGTTATTTCCAGCTTCCCTAGTGGCCCATCGGGTATGAGGAATGTATACTTAGAGTATGCCAAGCAGGGACAATCTAAGTATTTAATACAAATATTTCCTAAGTTCAGCTTTAACCACCCAGGTGCAGGGGCGGACTGACCATTTGAAAACTCGGGCGCTGCCCGAGGGCCCGGGGTCAGTAGGGGGCCCCATGAGATGCCCCTGGTACCTTTTTCATAGGCTTTTGTGATTTGGGGCAAGGACACAGGGGCCCCATGATCCCCTATTGCCCCATGAGTTGTCAGTCCGCCCCTGCCCAGGTGTATCATCATCTAAAAGCAAAGACTTACCTCTCGTGCATATGCCTTTCCTATGCCATCTGTAGCCCCTGTTACCACTGCAAAAGAAGACATGAGAATCAGGTCTTTGCTGTATGCAGCTTAGGAGTGAGTACACACTACTGCAATTTTTTTTATACACAACATTGCAGCACAAACATTTTTTTTTATGTGACATTTTATATTTGAATCTTTTTTTTTTTGTGTAGACAGACATGTGGTCATCTCAACTGATGTGCTCTAAAAGCATCCATATATTTTAAAGATCTCTCAAATTTACTAATTCATTATAATGCACTTCAGGCAATAAGCACGTTCTCTAATTTCTAATGCCAGTACAAAGGATTATATCTATTGTGCCTGGTTCACACTAGTCAGATTTGTTTGGATCGCACAGAACCGCAAACGGTGAAAATAACATTGGTTTCAATGGTGACTGTTCACATCAATGCAGTGCAGCTGAAATGCCACTTTGGGGAAGTGCCCTGTGCTACTTTGGTACGATGCAGTAAGATTTTGTGGTCCGTAGACTTCAATGGAAACGTATCAGAAACCCATGTACATGCAATTGAATTGTCCTCATTTCCAATAGTAGTTGTAGCAGCAGTAGTAGTAGTAGAGAACAAGTTATCAAATCGTGGCCAACAACACACACCTGTAAAATCGCATTCGCAGTCACTCATGCACACTTATTGCACAGCAGAGGGTGGGAGCCGCCCAAGGTTAACAAGCAGGTGATTGGGTGCTAGATGAAGAGCAGTCCTAGCAATCAATCACTGTCTGTCAATCACTGCTGAGGAGGGCGTGTAAGATAGGATAGTTAAAGGGGCTAAGGACATTAGTGTGAAGGGGGGGGCTGAGGACAGTAATGTGGGGGCTGAGGACATTAAAGTGGGAGGTGCTGAGGACAGTAATGTGGGGGGCTGAGGACAGTAACATGGGGGGGGGGGGGCTGAGGACAGTAACATGGGAGGGTCTGGGGACTGTAAAATAGGGGGTGGAGGACAGTAACATGGGGGGGGGGGGGCTGAGGAGAGTAACATGGGGGGGTCTGGGGACAGTAGCATGGGAGGGTCTAGGGACAGTAAAAATGGGGGTAACATGGGGGGGGGGGGGGACAGTAACATGGGGGGGTTGAGGACAGTAACATGGGGGGGCTGAGGACAGTAACAAGGGGGGGCCTTAGGACAGAAATGTGGGGGCTGAGGACAGTAACATGGGGGGGTCTGGGGACAGTAATGTGGGAGGGTGACGTAAAAAGGGGCAGAGTTCTCCTAAGTAAAGGGGGCAGAGGACAGTACTGTTAGGGGGGGGGGGGGCAGCTGAGGACACTCATCATAAGTGATCTTGATGTGAATGAAGAGGGGACTGTGCTGTGCAGTGGGGATTGAGAACACTGATGTGAACAGGTTCAGATCTGTACCTGTGCATTTGGTGCACGTGTTGTGGGTAGGTCAGCATTACCTGATAGAAACCTGAAGAAGTCCCTGACCCTTTTTTAAAATCGCACCGCAGCAACACGTAGTTTGGCGCATACAAAAGTGCACCACAGGAGCCTACATGAGATTCCGACCTCTGATGCATGATCATTTTTCTTCCCGGACCTTGGTAAATTTTAATTCAATACCCCTGCTTTATATGAATTGCATTTGGTTGCTCAATTAACTATTTCTTCCATGGTTTTTGATAGTATTTGTATTGCACAATTTAATAACCTAGTAATACTTAGTGGTTCACTTCATATGATCTATGTTGTAACTTGTTATTTTGTTATTATATTTGTTATTTTATAGCTTATGTTGTGCATCATCATCAGAGTGCAGGAGAGCTGTGATTAGAGTTCCTATAAGGAGAGTCCAGAAGCTGTGTCCCAGTGCAGTCCACACAGTCCACTGACCACACATGACACTGTAGAAGGACATGACAGTGGCCTGGCTGAGCTCACATTACACGATCCACTGACAGCCTGCCTTCCTCTATAATAATACAACGACATGGGCTTCACCTTACCTGCCCAGCGCCCATACCGGGTGAGATCGCTCCTCCAGAAGCCGGACAGCACATGGATCCTCAGCCCCCGCAGGATCCTCAGCATCAGCTTCAGTAGCAGAAATCCGGCCAGCAGCAGCCCCAGCAGGGTGAACGTTGTCTCCAGCAGACACGGCTCCCTGGACTCTGCCATGTCCTCTGTGTACAGCGCAGTGTGCCGTGTGTGCCGATCCCAGGCGGGGCTCCTTATCTCTGCACACTGCGATGACAGCTCGGTGTGCACACTGCTGAGGGACAATGAACTCCTGCTGATAGCAATCTCAACTTCAGGAAAATTCCTGAAATACTATAAATGTACAAGTATGAATATGTATTGTCCCAGGGCTCACAAATGGAAGGACAATGTCTTCTTTAACCTTTCAGCTGCCAGAGCTATTTTAGATTGCATAAAGCCCGGAAACGTGATATATTTTCTGAAAGCAGACACCTTACAGAATAAAATAGAGGTAGTTCCAGTTTCTTACGTCACAGAATATTATTGCAAAATTTCAGTACAAAATACACTAAAGTTAATTTTAGGGCACATAAATGCAATGAATTACCCAATTTTTTGGTAAAATATAAAAGATGAGGTTTTACTGAGTAAATAGATATGCAACCTTAAATTTGCGTGCGCCTGTGAAATGGCAACAAACTTACACTATATTTTCCATAGGTGACGTTTTGAAAGTCCCCTATAGGTCATCAGTTTGGCATTACAGAAGAAGTCTGGTGCTAGAAATACTGCACTCGCTCCAGTCTGCACAGCGATATATACCATGTATCGCAACCAGGGGTGGACTGACCATTTGGAAACTCGGGCACTGCCCGAGGGCCCGGTATCAGTAGGGGGCCCCATGAGATGCCCCCGGTACCTTTTTCATAGGCTTTTTTGAGTTTGGGCAAGGACACAGGGGCCCCATGATCCCCTATTGCCCGGGGGCTCCATGAGTTGTCAGTCCGCCCCTGCCTGGTACCTTTTCCATAGGCTTTTTTTGAGTTTGGGCAAGGACACAGGGGCCCCATGATCCCCTATTGCCCGGGGGCCCCATGAGTTGTCAGTCTGCCCCTGATCGCAAATGTGTTTTGCGAATGGGCACCTCCGATGCGTGTGTTTATGTTTGCCTGTATGTGATGATGTGGGGGGGAGGGGCTCAAAAATTTTAAAGGGGAGGATTTTATGTGCTTGGGTATAGGTTAAATTTTTTACAATTTAAAATAAAATTATACTTAACTTGTTTTTCCATCACATAGGGAACAAAAAGTCCCCTATGTGATAATGTTTTTTGGTTACAGGTTCTCTTTAATGAGACAATTGGGGTTTAAAAAGCCCTGGATGTCTCCCCTGTGCTCCACTGAATTTAATGCAGTGCAGATTGCACTGCATTTATTCTTTCTCGGCCATTCTGGCTGGGGACACTGACAATAGGGACTTGGAAGTGATGTTTTACGGGATGCTTCAGGGTCAGTATTACAGATTGCTACCCCACTGCTTCAGAGTCAGCAACAAAAAGGTGAGGAGAGTGGATGGACGTGTGTCTACTCTGCTCTCTCCCCTCTACTCACAGATGGGCAAGCATAGCCCAGGATACATGGCAGGGGCCATGTGGAAGCAATCAGGTGGCAGTGCAGCCACCAGAATGCTTCCATCTGAAAAGCAGGGGTCTACTTATCAGATGTACGCACAATAACAGTGGCTGCAGCCACCGGGAGTGTTTGTAAACCCCATGCTGTGAGGACTGTAGAATATACGGACCTGGCAGTGAGAGGGTTAAGGGCTCTTTCACACAGGCATTCTGATCATGTTCATCTGTCAGTTTCCAGGCAGATCTGATCAGAAGGTCTATGCAGCCCCATGGACATGCAGATGTAAACAGACGTGTGCCCATTTACACCCAGCTACTTCTGTGTCCATCCAGGTCCAAAGAAAAAAAAAACGGAAAAGCACTGCGGACATTTGCGGACCAGATCGAAGGTGGTGTGTTGTACATAGACAGTGGAATCCATTTTTACACCTGGCCCCCCTTAGAGCTAGTATGGGTCCACCCATGTCTGTCAGGCAGAATATGAATGGGTACAGATGTCAAAATAGTGACATCTGTCCTGTTGACATCTGATTTAGCAGGGATCTGCTCATGGAACTCCTGCTAAGCTGGCAAACCCCATTCCATGTGATAGGAGCTGGCCCTTTCACACAGGCGTTCAGTCTAGACCTGTCTGTCAGGTTTTGAGACAGATCCAGACTGAACCACAATATATGGCCCATTTCACACAGGGTAGACCCTGCCTGCAATCTGCTTACTGAGGAGGGGATCTGTCTGCTGATCACCCGCTGAGCAGGTGGATGACAGGTCCGTGTCTGCTCCACTTATGCAGAGCAGACAGACACAGCCCATTCTCCTCTATGGGTGGTCAGATGTAAATGGACTGCCTGTCCATTTACACCCAACCGCCATCCAATCTGTTCTTCTGGATCGAAAGAGAACTGATCCTCATATGTCTGTTTTTATACACGTCCATTTACACCCGCCGCTCCATAGAGGAGAATGGAGGTTCTGATCTGGTCCATCTGAAAAAAGGACTTTCGTGTGAAAGGGGCCTAAATCTGTGGCAGGGGCGGATGTAAATAGATGATTATCTGATTACATCCACCTACATCCATGTCTTTTCAGGTCTGTTTTTTTAAACAGAACAAGGCTGCGTCATTTTTTGTTTAGACAGATCTGAATAGATGTAATTAGATGCCATGTACATCTGTCCCGTTTATGTCCATTTTAAGGCAAGAGACTTTTTTTTATACTTTGTCACCTATGATTTGTTTCAAAACAGATGTAAACTGAACTGAAGTGCAAACTGATGTAAACTGAACTGAACAAAAGACAGATGTACAAATTGATGTGATTTTTTTTTGTGTGTGTGAACAGATAACACCGGTGAGAAAGGACCACTCACCTACCAGTGACACCTGTGCCAGCAGACTACAGAGACATTTTGGGAATGACAGTAGAACCCTGTCACTCCTCATCAGCTCTTTACCACATAAGGCTTCACTGTCTTCATCCCATCGACTAGGAAGGGAGCCACAGTAATACACTGCAAGGTCTTGCATCTCCTGGTCAGTGCAGGATTTATAAGTTGGCAAAAGGGGCAACTTTCATGAGCTGACAGAAGGGGCCCCCCCCATATACAAAAATAATATAAAACAATTTTTAAAATTATATTAAATAATCAAAAATAAATATAAAATTATATAACATACTGTATATAACAATAATTTTTGTTTTCATTTTAATAAATGTATCTTTAAGATTTTTGCTGGTCATCATCTGTAAATGTTTTTAATCTGGACTGGTATATTGTGTAATTTTTTTAAATAATTTTTGGCAAATCAAACGAACCACACATAGAGCACCTACTTTCATAAGGAAGGAAGCCCATATGTGCGTGTGCATGTGTGACCTCAGAATGATGTTATGTCATCCATACTCTGTGTATGAGGGCCCCCCCAAACCTGAAGTGCCCCATGCCCTCCAAGATCTTAATTTTGCCCTATATGTGGTTCCAGGCAGGGTGCCTAGGACTGGTTCCGTTCCATAGTGGGGCCCAAGGATAGGGCCCAACCGCTCACTAGGGTACATCCCAAGCACCAGACCACCCAACCTAGGGACCTCTGTCTCCTGGCCACCATCTCACACTCCCAAGCTAGATGCTCTTCTTCAGTCTACCAAAGAGTTAACCTGTACTTTCTACACTTTGTTCCCCAAAGCATTATTCATAGTGGACTCATACTCTTCTTCACATGAACCAGGCCAGACATTGTAACTTAATCATGAAATGGTTTACTGATCATTCTGGCATCCTTTTCAAGCAGTATCTTCGTAACCTGAAACAGAGCAGTTTCTCATCACTGTGCAACAGTAATAATGCAGAACAACTTCCCTTGGGTTCAATGCTGCGGTGCATGTACCTTTTCCATACAAGTGAGCCCCCAACCAGTAAAACAAGGGAAAGGTTAAGTCTGTATTCCTGTGTAAGGGCCTCGCTGTAGGGTAACTCTGATGCAAGTCCAGTAACTACATCTCTCAATGTGTGCTATCCAGCCCCTGACTTCAAAAAGACCACGAGGCCCAATTTCCTTCTTTCAGATGTCTCATTCCCAGAGACTCCGAAAAAAATATGGAAATGTCACCACGCACTACAGGCTGGCACAAAACTGTGATTCATCCAGGTAGTAATGTTCTTCCTGATGAAGCCAGCTAGGGTGAAACATGTCAAAGCCACTATTTGTTTATAAAATAATAACATTTGAATGGAACCAACCACGGTACCAAACATTTATCTGGATATTCACTAATCATTGCCATTTTTAAAAACTGATTTTAAATGAATTTGTTGTATAATGGTTTTTAAACAATATTTTGGTGTAATCATGTTGGCACCTTCAGGGCGAATTCACACTAAACAGCTGGTAAATCGCAGAGCAGCTGGTGCGAATCACCTCTGCGGGCCGCTCTCAGTTGATAGCTGCACTAGAGAGCAGTGCGGTGCGCAATTTAGCACATCACACCGCTTCCTTTTTTTTTTTAACCAGCTTTGTTTGAAGTGTACAAAAAATACACTTCATTCACTGCAATGTCTGGCTGCACTGTTTGACTTTGTAGTACAATTTAGCCTGATGCACTGATAAAATGCATTTTACTGCAGGAATTCATGATTGGCAGAGCAGCTAACAGGAGAGAGATCTGTGAGAGTAAACAACACAGATATCTCTCCTGTCAGCACAGATGTGCTGGTTTTTATCCTTCTGCAAACATGGAGATAAAAGCCAGCACCTCGCCTAGTAAAACACAACACAGTACACAGTTAAAGCACAACACAGTACAGTTAACCCTTTGATCGCCTAAGATGTTAACCCCTTCCTGCCCAGTGTCAATAGTACAGTGTCAGTGCTTTTTATTAGCACTGATCACAGTATTAGTGTTGCAGGAGATATCAGTGGCAGTTAGTTAGTTCCCACCCAGTGTCAGTTAGTGTCAGAATGCCCGCTGCACTATCACAGTCCCACTATTGGTCGCTGATCGCCACCATTACTTTTATAAAAAATAAATAAATAAAAATTCCAGTATATTTACCACCATTTGTAGATGCTGTAAT